CTTTTTGTTTTTCTACAATTGCAATAGACGTTAGTTCTTAATGGAATTCTTATTATACCACCTTAATGAAGTTCTATGGAAATTTTTTTTATTTATAACGTACTGAGAACCAATCTCGTTTTAATATTCTTGAGCTACTTGCTCGTGAAGTATATAGCCTAATGTATCATTGGGCATAGTCGAGTGATTCTACGACTATTCTATTGTCTTCTAGATATTATTTATAAGGAAGTGCTACTACGAGAGTTATTTTTTGACAAAGGAACAGAATGGAACCTCTACCGGTAAGCCCATTGTTTGTTTATCGAATTTTACCAAGGACAGACAATTCTTACGATAAACTTAACAATCGTACTCCAGGAAAGAGATTATAAATACCCATTTTTGGCATTGCTTATAAAATATAAAGAATAAATATGGTATAAAATAGATGTTTTCACTTTCACGTGTCTTCAAGCTTCTACTGTTTAAACCAATCTTTCTACTTATGGAGGCATTTTTCTATGGGGAATTTGTGATTTTAAATCTAGTCTCTCAAGAAATCAACATAAGCAATAAGTTGAAATTTCATCCAGGGGAAGAAAAATAGTTTATAAACCGAGATTTTTTCTTGATGTCAATACTTTTACGCTTCCATACTGCCGGAAGGAATTTGAATATCAAGACCATCAGAAACCTAGGAAGCCATGATGGAATCGTAGTTGCTATGGAGACCATAGTCTGGGTATTGATCGTTGGCATTTACGAGACCTCAAAATTTTCTGGATATAAATTTAGATGTGAAGAAGCTACAGATGGAGAATACATTTACTATCACTTTAAAATATATAATATATATATTAGCGGCCGTTAAAATAATTTTAAAAACTTTTTAAAGAGAATTTTAATACTATCGAGGAAGTAAATTTCTTTATTATTATTATTTTAGTTGAAGAATATTTGCAAGGAATCCCGTTTCTCTTCCTGAAAGAACGGCCTTCACATCTACGACCTTGCCTTAAGGCTGAAGTTAAGCTTGTGATATGCCGCCTCTTTTCTGAAGAAAGGGACAACACTTCTATCTCTCTTTTGTATTGAACGTGTTCTATCGTACTTTAATCAAGTTTAACAAAGAAATTTTTGCTTATTTCAACGTCATCTCGATAACAATCACCTTTTACACAATCCACTGATTATTATTATTATTATCTTGCGTAATAAGATTTTTATGCCTCAAAAACTTTTAAACTAATTTTGTAAGATTTAATTCTAGTTCACTGCCCACTTAGTAGACCTATATTAAGTAAGTAAGGCGAAAATGTAATTCTAAATTTCAAAATCTTGATAAAGAGACTTGTCAAAATGAATTTTTGCAAGATTTTTATATCGAGAGGGATGATTTTTACGAAATTTTAAGCTCGTGCGTAATAATTTTCGTAAGTAAATAGGTAACTAGTTCTGTTGTGTGTTTAAAAATGTGTTAAAAGTTTCAAACGATGACCAAAAAAAAAAAAAAAAAGAATCAAATAGAATAATTAAATCTGTCATGGCTTCTCGGACAATAACTATTCTTTTTACGTAGAGTAATTGCTGTGACTATTTTTAAAAATCAAATATTAAATGATCCTTTATTAAGTCTTAAATACCTATTTAATGCATGGATAGTTCTACGTATGCGGATTTAGATGTCCTATATTTTTTTTTTTTTCAAAAAAATTTACCATTAAAAAAGAAAAAATAAATGCAGCAGCTGTCGACTTCACTTTTTCTCCCTTTTTCCTTTGTAATGTAATGCACAGGCTCATTCTTACAAAATTAAAAAAAAAAAAGAAGGATTTATAAACCTTTGATTTTGTATTAGAAATTAAATCTTTCAAAATAAATTAATTTTCTACTTATTTATATAGGCCTATATATATAAAAAATTACAACAGTTAAGGAAAACTCAAAAATACAGCTTCTATTTTCGACTTCCTTCTATTATTATTATTATTTTTTTTTTAATTTTATTTTTCCTTAAAGATTAAAAGCTTCATTGATCTGTTAAAGTTATATTTTAATTAATTGAAAATTGGAATCTTTCTAAAACTTATATTAATTTATAAATTAATATTTTTTTTTGTATTTAATGAATAAAAAAGAAAAGTTATTGAAGTGTCAAGTAATCTTTCTTAATTCCTTACTGTGAAAACTTTCTTTTTAGCCAATCATTTAATGAAATATTTAAAGAATTTCAACGATTTCAAATTGTAAAATCGAATTTTTTTTTTCTCTCCTCTTATAATTTCTACTTGTTTAAAGAATTTAATGATGTATCCATATTTATATACGCTTCAATTAACTTTCTTAACGAAAAAAATACACGCAACGTCGACAGTGCATTTAAGTAATATATAGATATATAAATATTTAAGTATTAGACGGAATGTTTATAAAAATAATTTTATCGTGAATGAAAATTTTTATATAGTAGCGTATAATGAATAATCGTGACGAGATTGTCATAATGATTGAAGAGTCTGACCTCGTTTCATACAGAAAAATTCACTTCAATGGAAGAAAAGAACTTAATAATCGGGTCTTGGTTGTGGTAATGAGGTTTTTGTGTTGATCAATTTATAGTTCCGATTTATTATTATTTTTTTTTAAATCGAAGAAAAATTCCCCATTAAAATTTCCGCAATTAAAATAACAATAAAAATTTATCGACAGATTTCAACCACGATTCCTACGATAACGTTTTCTTTTTTTCTAATGTAATTAATTGTGAAGATTGGCATTTAAATTTAAAATCATTTTATCATAATTAAGAGAAGAAAGTGACCTATTTTACGAGCTGGAGAGTTGAAAAGTGCTCACGCTCCTAGACAAGTTAACCTCAACCTCTTAGTCCTTTCCCATAGCAAAGAAGTATTTGTAAAAAAAAAAAAAAAAAAAAAGAAGAAGGAAGACATAAAAAGTGAATATTTGATGTGTAGCCTTATCAGTTATTATTATTTTTCAACTTTCTTATAGACGTGAAAAGAACATGGCATTAGAGAGTAACTGGAGACGTTATGTTCCACATATGTTGTGACAAAGAGAAAGTTGTTAACACAATTTCGTTCGTCTAGTTGCTAGCATGATTCATCGTTCACTTCTAAAGCTCCCATCCTCCAATTTTAAAAATGGATCCAACCGGAATTAAACGCGTGGTTCGGTCACGTGTTTCTTTGTTAACGGACAATGGGGGGAAATTTTCCCTTTATTGGCTCGATACCGGAAGTAAATAGGCAATAAGTCCATGACCGTCGATTTGGGAGTCAGATACATTTTATATGATTTCCCAAACTCGTTGTGTTATTAATGTGTCTGGTGAGTGGTATAAGCAATGTAAAATAGTGGGAATATCTATATATAAAAAAAAAACCGATCTCTAATCTGATTATAAAACTATAAATTCCGGATGTGTATTTCTATACATATCCCTCCTCGCTATTGTTGATAACAGCCGGTAGGTGGTGCTTATTTTTACAGCTGACTGCACTATCCTGCATTTCCGTTTGAACTGGGTTATTCATTCACAAAGTTCAGACGCTTATAAATCTATTAAGATGGCGAATTTGTTACTTAATTTTAAATCACCTCATTGCTGATAGTCCTGGTTGATAGGATATCTTCAATAGTAGGTGAATAATGCATAGGATCGTTTAAAATTCTATCTAAACCGCCGACGTTATTCACAGACTCCATCTTATCTGTGTCACTAATAGTGTTTTTTTTTTATAAGGGAGAATTAATCGTATAGAAGTTAGTTGACACAAGTCACTGATTACATCTTAATCCTGTAGAACGTCTAAAAAATTAATTAATTAGTTAGATTTTTAATTAATGGTTCAATTGTTCGGTAGCTTTCAATTGAAAAATGTCAACGTTTGCGTTAGAAGAATGGCTTCAGATTCTCTTTAATGTCTAGTTCCCCCGCTAATGATGGTTTCTGCAGAACTTCATTTAAAGATCGAACCGAGGTCACTGTCCATTTAAAATGTCCAGTTATTCTTTTTTTCTTTTCCGCTCAACCATGACTCAAGAGAAGCAGCTGCAATACAATGCTCCCCTTCTTTTAGACTAGGAGATATCACTCTACACTTGTCATCTCATTGATCATTGTTATTTTCATATAAACTATAGTTAAGAGGGGTACAAAATTCGCAGAGCGCGGGTGTTGGGAAGGGATGGAATAATTTCTAACGTAATTTTATTCAAATTAATTTATTTTAACAGCGACAGATGGCGCTAAAAATTTAAAAATACTGACCGTCAGATGCGATTAATGATTAAATATTACTTTGAAGACGTAAAAAAAAAGAAAAGACATTTAGATAAATAAGCGTTGATAAGATTTAAATTATATTTTAATTGATGTAAAGGACCTCACACGTATTTTATCTTCGTTTAAATATGCCAATTGATGGTGATTGATGTAAACAATTGGGCACTCATTTTGCCAAAAAATACAAGAATTCTGTAGTTTCTATAACAATAAGTAACGTTACACGCCTTACGTCTGAAGGTCGTTGCAAGGCTGTAGAGAAGAGTAATGCAAACCAAGCATATACAGCAGATAGACCGTAACATTGATAACAGAAGATATAAATATAATTTTTTTTTTTTTTTACACTTATCTAAATTATTTACATTTCTATAGCAACTACAAGCAGACATTTCTATTTTAGAAATTGATAATTCCCTTATTTTCAGTAGAAAATCTTTAAAAAACAAAACAATATATACGCCACTTATAATGACTAATCGACATTACACCACATACTTTAACCTTCTCATTGCGTAATGTATTCAGCGTCACGGATTCTGAAATTCTTTTTAAACATAAATATCCTCTAGTTATTTCTTAATTAGTATAAACAGTATATATATAGTTTGACAAACAATTTACAATTTTACAACTCAAAATAGACGTCACGAATTACGTCATAAAAATAATAATGTTTTTCGAGCACAGCTTATTGCATATTCATCGTAAACTATGACGTAAATCTGTAATTATTTTAAAGGGGAATAGCGTATATTAACGATTTTTTTTTTCTTTTAAGTGAAGAGAGTATTATGATTTTTATATTATCTCCCGGCGAATATTTTCATCATCATATACGATAAGTGTTATCAGCACTTAACATTATTATTATTATTATTATTAAGGAAAGGAAGGAAAAGTAAGAATGGAATGCGGTATTTGCGTTCGTAATGTGGTATCGACTTTTTTTTTTATGTTCTCCGGGTCAATATGACTCCATTTCTGTTAGACAAGGATCTTGTTAAAAGTTGAAGGCACATCGTACAGTACATACCCGGATAAGAGATTAAATTTCATATTTCGACATCAGGTATGCTTGTTTTTTTTCCATCCTTTCCAAATATTGTTACTCATATATTTGCGTCAATAATATATTCTTTCATAAATTTGTTTATTGGCGAATAGAAAATTATACTTAAAAAGTTATTTCGAAATTCAATTATAATCGTTTAGGTAAACTTAAATTCCGTTTTATTCCCGAGGGTTTTTTTGAAAAGGTGAAAGGGGAATGACCCGAAAGATTTAAGCCAAGTTGCCTTTTATGTTCTTAGTTTTGGGGGTGGGAGGACCCCATAAGGGAGTTGAGGCTCTTCGAAAGGTCCCGGAAGCTATCAGAGATTCAATTGCTTCGATAATTTAAATTTGAAATATAGTATATATATATATATATATATATATATATATATTTAAATAATCATTTCGAAAGTTTGTAATCTATAGGTCATATTTAATTTCATTTTTTTAAAAATTTAAATAAGGTAAATGTGCTTCGTTTATTATCAGAGATAACATTATCGTTAATATACCATTAATGACAATTTATCAAAGCGAAAGTATGGCATTTCCGCAGGCTGAGATTATTTACTTTTTCATTTCGTTATAATAAACTTAACAGTGCGTGTTGCTATGCATTTAATTTTTAATTTTTTTTTAAATTAAATATTTAGCATAAGTAGTAAATTCACAAAGCGCATCTTCGTCACTTCATCACTCACACAACGGATCTTCCATCACGTAAGAATTTATTTATATTTAAAATTCTAAATGCCAACTTATTGAATTTAACTTAATTAATGAGAACTTGTTTGGCTAAAGCTGAAATCGAAGATTCTCAGGTCGCCAGCGTACATTGACTTTGGCTTCGGGCTTAGTCGGTAAGGATTTTTTTTTTTTTTTACTTTTTTATTTCCGGAAGAATACTTCAGTGCTAATGAAAAGAAATACAGAATAAAAGAGAGAAAGGATAAAAGTTACAAATATATAATTAAAGCAATATTATCTTTACTGTAAATATTACTATTGAAATAGGCTTTTGACTCAGTAATCAGCACTTTGACTTCCTAGCATATAACAGGAATGCCATATATAAAGAATAATTTTGTTTTTCTTTTATATAATAATAATAATAATAATAATAATAAAAAGTAAATTATTTTATATAGTAGTTAAGTAACTAGAAGATATATAAAATTTGTTTTCTCACGGTTTTACAAAATCAGTCAGGCCTGGCCTGTTTATTAAGCTATAGTAAACTTACATAAAATTTTCCACAAATAGCAGACAACAGGATGTAAAGTATAAATATATAAATATAATATATACCTGTACATAACACATACAATGCAATATATATTCTTTCATTCAATATCTACTATTTTGGGATGAATGAAAGTTAATATTTAAAAATACAGTTTTAATCTACATTTATTTTATTCTTAATACAGTACTTTTTTGTATTTTCTTTGTTTGTAGGTAAATATAGAATTTTTTTTTCTCTTGGTAATTTAGAAAGGAATTAAGGAAATATCTCAATTATTTCTATAAATAATATCCAGCGTTGAGGAATTTTATAAAAATAAACTTTTAAGTTTTATTATTGGGTATATTTAAGCTTAAAATTTACAAGTAGGACTGGATTTAGATACATTCTGGCATTAAGCTATAATATATAAAAGGCCCTTTTCATCTACTAATTAATAATAAGTTTAAAAATATGAGGCCCTAAGTTATAACCTTATAGAGTGAGTCCCTAAACTGTAATTTGTATAGTTTATGTATATAAATTAAATCCGGTTCTGCTTAAATGATATGAGTTTTAGTTAATATAAAAATATTGCAAAATAATATGATTCATATTTTATAAATTTTTTGCAATGTTAACATACAGGAAGTATTAAAAATATTAATTAAATCTATTATAAATTATTAAAAACATTTAAATATTTTAGATAAAAATTCCCATTTTATAGATAATTTTTTTTATAGTTTAAAATGATATTATTTAAATTTAAATTTTTTTATTTTTTTTATTAGTTAAATAAGTTTTAGAGTTGTTAAGTGAACTAAATACTCGTAACACAATCAAACTTTTAAGTAATGAGATAACAGATGGTGGCTTTTATAACCCATTGTCATAATATATTATCAGAATTATTTACACATATCTAAAATGATTAAACAATAAAAGGAATTCGTAACTCGTGGTAAATTATAATAAATCCGCATGAAAATCGTAAGCAATTGCAATTCTATTGTTACTATTATAAACTTTTTTTTTTAATGAGTTTCCAATCTATTAACCATCCCTATTTGAATTGTTTATAAATCTATCAAACTGTTGACTTTCAAATAAGCAATTTTAATTGATATAAAATGAATTCTGATAAACTATTAAAGCAAAATAATTAATTCTATAATGGAGTTTTGTTATTCATTTCATTTTCATTAAAGATTGAATTAGATTAACGGATGTAGAATACTAAAGTTGCGAAACTCGAACTCAAACTTTAGTGTATCGAGCTTTAAAATATAATTAATTTTGGTAAATTAGAGGAGTTTTGAAACTTGTTTGTATCAATCCAATGTTACTTAAATAAAACAGAGAACTAATCCATTAACTTTGTTCTCTCCTACTCTAAACATAGCCTAATTTCTAGTGTTAAACAGCAATGCATTTAAAGTCGAGCTTTTAGTTCTAATCAATAAACACTCGTCCATTGTTTTTAGATAAATTTTTATCTCTCTCTCTCTCTCTCTTCCAATTTACAATTGATCAAGTTAAAATAGACTGTCAAGAATGAGAGATTAATAGAGCTTTACAGGATTTTTCTTACCGAGGTTGGCACTATTATGGACAAACTAGTACAGGAAATTAGGGTAAAATATAGTTTACAAAGGACTGTATGATCCATTCAATCTACAATAGAAGGCTACACGATAAAGGTGGGTCACGTTTGGTGGCTTTGGCCTAACGAATGTGATAGCGCATCACACTTCCATTCACTATACCGATTATCGCTTTTCGTGTCCTGGAGTCGAATTGATTTAGATTAATGCAACTTGGAGGTGACTTTTTTCCTCTATTATTCCATAGAAAACGTCTAAATTGCTAAAATGTATTTTATCTAGGTTAAACTATATGAAAAATCGTTCGATGCCCAGCAATAGAGTAAATATAAGAAATGACTTTTGTTCGTAGACAAGATTTTATATCTAGAATAGAATTTTACAATTAAATTATAGCGATTTTTTTGAACCTTCCATTAAGAAAAACTACACTGCGAAGAACAAAATCGATTTGCACTGGTAGAAGGGTAAAGGATGTAAAAGTCAACATCGCTTTTGACTAAGATTTATCCATGTGAAATAAAACTAATCCCATTAATTTATTAACTATTTCTCTATTGATAAATAACAAAAAAGAAAAAAAACCCTTAATCCTTTCCAACAGTAGATGGAATAAAATAGTAGTCGAGTAAATGTACTCTTGCATTATATATAAAGCTTATTGGACGATTTCGAATGCTAGTATTTGTAGGTCAACATCTCCAACATTAATGAGTTGTAATTGGTAGGCTACAAGTGGATTTTTCAATAGATTAAAGATAATATAATAGAATTTTCAACTGATAAAATACTTAAATTTCTTTTAAAATGTAACATATACAATATTTAAAAGTAATTTCTGTTTTCATTTACTATTAATATATTGATTTAAATACACATCAGGTAAATAATTCTTTTTTTTTTTTTCTGAAATTTTTATCTAGCATATAAATATAGCCTAAGGATTCGGGTATATGGATAAGTTTAGCACGTAAAACTCTCTAGATTACATATGCATCTTGATTTATCGGATTAGAAAATTTTCGAGTGTTGTAAAAACATAGGAAAAGTGAATTCACGCAGATGTTTTTTTTCTCGTGTTTTGTTTACAGAAGAACCGACCGAATGACAAAAGAAGCAGAAGCATAACATGCCGGGCATGTACAAGACGGGCACCGATGGCAGCGACTCTCCACCACCTGGTGGCAACATACAGTTTACCGTCCAATCCTGGCCTTCGGGAAGAGGCGGGACTCCGTCTGGCGGCCGTCATCATGGTAATCACGTCCGGTCCGATTCGATCGACAGTCTGGATAGCAACTCGAGCGGTTCCAGCGGATTCAATCACTCTCGACAGTTATCGGGAGACGGCACGGAATTCATCCCAACTCGAACTGTACCAAAAGCATCAACGCAACCTGCGCATAATCCTTTGAAATTCGTTAAAGTCCAGTCTTCTTCACTCTATCTCAAGGTAAATATCGAGTATAAACACGTAAAAAAAAAAAGGTATACATAGAGTAATCGATTATATATTCTAGGTAATAGCATCTAGAATCATTTTTAAATCCATTTCTATATATATATATATATACAACGTGCGTCGCTGTCGGGTTTGGATAATTGCACTTTTCGCCGCATTACTTCCGTTCCGAAATTGTTTTGAAAATTCGATTTCTCTACATCAAGATTGGGAAATTGAAGCGGAGGATTTCCTTCTTCTCTGAATATTACATTGGCAGACTTAAATATATTTTTTTCGCTATTTTTGTAAATAAGATAAAATACCCGGGAAGCGAACATCTGGGATGAAATTGATGACTAATGCGTAAATGTGTCCGTTTCTACACGTGGGTGAAGGGAAATCTTTCAGCGCACCCCCTCGCAGGTGAAAAAAAAAAAAGTAGATATGACTTTGAACAATTGCCAGATGACAATATGTAATGTCATCCAGGATGCCGGTTTTTCTATAAAGTAGAATTGTGACCGCACCATTGTTTAAAAGGTTAAGAGAGAACTGGATTGAGAAATAATTAATTGGCACATTGTTTCTTTTGTGTGTAAGTAGAGCCTGGAGTGAATGTTAATTCATTATTTGTTTCACTAAATTTACTTTCATTGATAACTGTTTCTAGTTGAACTGTTCTGTAATCAAACTGTTTTGATTAGGACAAAGTTCATACAGTATTTAGGAAATTCTTTCTTCTTTAGTAAGTTTATAATATGGAAAGCTTTCATTTGTCGAATATAAAAATAAAAGATAAAAAAAAATCCTACATGCCTCTTGACCTTTTATACTTGGGTTGCAATTGAAACTATAGTTTATATTTATAATTTGACTTTATGTGTTTTATTGTTTATATTTTACTTAAGTGACCTGAATATTTCAAATTTTTGGAATTTCAAAAATAAATATTATTTATGAATTGTTTTATTATAAAAGGTTTATGAATAGTTCTTATAGATAAAAGTTTTTAACATGATTTTGCTTTATTCTATCAATTCTAATAGGCTGAGGAACAATTAAAATTAGCAAAAGAAATAAAAATAACAAGGCAAAAACTAAGAGATGAAGAAGAGGAATGGCAAAGTGTAAGTGATTTAATTATCTTAAAATTATTTTTAAAGTTAGTGAAATTGTATTTAAATGATATTTATTTATTTATTTATTTGAGCAGAATTTAGATAGTTGGAAGTCAAGAAGAAAAAAGCAATCTGAAAAAACCCATCATAGGGTAGAGGTAATGAAAGAAATTGAAGAGCAAGAAAAACAACAGAATCAACGAAAAATCAAGACTTTTTCTGAAATGATGGAGGAAAGGTACTGATTTTTTTTTAAATTTTAAATTATCTATACAGTTAAGAAATTACTAATTGTATTATTCTGAAAGTTGTATTTATTAATATTAATTAAGAGATTATAAAAAATGTCTATTTGTAGTCAAGTTTGTATAGAATTTCCAGATGGCTTTTAATCTGGTCATTCATCTGTCGAAAGATCTGGGTTGATTCCCGATTAAACTCTGCACTTTATGTTACCTCACTAGTTGACCTTTGTTGTGCAAATTGATGGCATTTTATGTTTGTGTGACCAACATGTGTGGGAGGAAGATTATTTTCAAACAGCAGACTTCCATATGCTGTTTGAAAATAATAGGCCAATTAAAATGTATAAGTTTAGTAATATATATATCATACACCATATTTTAATTGTAATTTTAACACGCTTTTTATATATATTTAGTTTTTTAAGATTTAATAATATATTTAGTTACACAAATAATCATTTGTTAGGTGAATAAATAAGTTAAACTATTAGTGTTTCTGATAGAAAAAGGATTAATTATATTAAAAATTATTATTATTTTAAAATATTTATGACTAGAAGTTATGTAAAAATTATAAATATAAATAATATAGTTATTAGGTGATAATTTTTAAATATTATTTAAATTAAACATCATGTATTTAAAATAATTTAATGAATGATAAATTAATGAAATTACAGTATATGTTTTTTATAGAGAAAAATATTTTTTAATTCTCAATTTTGAGAACTTAAAGAGGACTTGAAAAAGTTATATTTAATATATTTCATGTAAAATTTTATAAATAAAATATAAATTGATAACAACTATAGCATTGTTGTGACATTGACCTCACTCTTAATGTCTGATGAATAGTGGTTTTTGTTAATTTAGCCTTGAATGTTCTTAAGCTTCTAGACGAGAAAATATGATATTTTACTACTAAAGTTTTAAATTGTGTTGTACTAGTGATTTAATGTCTGTTAGTGTGTAGGCTTGAATTTCCATTCATGATTAATATACTTTAAAGGTTAACAGTTTATAAGTATGACTAATGCCTATTACTTCTTACAAATCATTGGAGATGATGAAAATAAATAATTTTATCGGTGACATATATATCATTATTTTGATTTATTTCTAAAATTATAAGTTAAATAATGAATTTATTTTCAGAAAACATTATTTTTTATTTTTATTTCTAGAGCAAATAAACCGAGAAGTTATAATTTTGCCATTTATCAGGTCGAAAATGAAGAAGAAAATAGAAAGTCAAAATCTGATTTTATTGAAGATAAAGAAGAAAAATCAACATCTGGAATAGATAGTTTTCCTTCTGAAAGTGAAACTGAGGGTGCATCTGAGGTATTAATATTTATAATTACAACTAAATTTCTGATTAATGAGTCATCAAATTACTATCAAAGTATACAGTAATTAAAAACTATGTAGAATTTAACAATATCTGTAGCATTGTAATATAATTATATTAAAGTTATTTAAGAGTGTTTTTAATTGTAAATTTTATTTATTTAATGACTTAAAATAGTTGTATGATAATTATTTTGAATGATTGACTTCATTTGGAAAGCTTTTTAATACAAACATTTCTATTTTATAAAGAATTTTGAATGGTTCACTCTCATACAAATTTAATTCATTTAAACTTGCATGAGAGTGTGTGAGTTTAAATTCTCATGAATTAAAATCATCTGGTCTCAGAATTTAAGCCTAGAGGAATTTAAACAATTTATGTTATAAAATCTTTAGTTTTAGATTGAAGTTCTTATCATAATATAATTATTTTATAAATATTGCAATTTTTTAAATTTAAATAATTGAAATATCAAATTTATATCTTAAAATTATTTTTCATACAAATATTGAGTGTTTATTTAGAAAACTTTAAAATGTGATGAATAAGAAAACCATTTTTAGGGTAATTAACTTTTGACAATTTAATGAAATTTATTTTTTTTTATAGGAGGCTTCAAGTACTTTAACTGAACGAATAGTTCATGATAGTAATGAAAATGGAACATTAAGTCATAAATATTCTCAGGATAAAAGACCATTATCGTACACGGACAAAGTATTGCTGCATTCGGATTTTAAAGACGATTCCGAGGTGTGCTCTTCGGAAGAAGAATTTATTACCGAGAGGAGAAAAGCAGCCGAAGAACTTGGTCTAAGTGCTGTGAATACGAGTACTGATTCTGGGTTAGAGAGCTTAGGTAGAAGTGGTGATGTTGGTGATAGTGTTACAGATTTTGGCCACGAAAACAATATTTCAGCAGAAAAACAATTAGACAGTGAAAATGAAGCACCTGTCTCACAATTTTCTACGGTTAATACAACTGAATCTACATATGCTGATGAGAATGAAAAGAATGCAACAGAACAGGTAATTATTTGAAGAAATCTATATTCCTTTTTTTTTTTTTTTAAGTTATTTCATCTATATATATATATATATATATATATTTTTTTTTACAGCAATAAATTATTATTATTATTCAGAAATTTGTATAAAGTACATATTATCTTAATTTAATGGTTTTAAAATTTAATACAAAGGTTTAAATTCCAAATTTTTAAAAATGAAAGTTACAGTATATTATGAATTGAATGTTAAGAGTAAAATGAAGTGTTTAAATACATTCTTGATTATGTAATTATAGTACTTATAACAATATCAAAATTGATAAATTTGATGGAATACAAATGTATTTAAATTATAATGATAATAATTTGACCTTCAGATTTCTACAAAATTTGATAAACTTTTTATCATGTTATACTATATAATATATAGTATATATATTTATATATTATATAAAATCAAACAGAAAATGTTTTATATTATATTTAAAATATATATTACATGTCATAAAGTAAATTTTTTTATAGTAATAAAATTATAAAGAATTTAAATATATAAAAATAAATTTATCAAATAATAAAAAGCAACTTTTCTGTTGTGTGCTGTAGAGCTTAACATTCTAATGTGAAATTACTTATAATTGTAATATGTCTAAAAATAATAAAGTTTTATAGCTTTTCTTAACTTACCTCTACTTACTTAGCATTATATACTGTGTGACTTCAGGCAGGGAAGAAAATTAAATATATTTTTTAAAAATAATGTTGTGGGAATTACTGAGCTATTTCTTGCTTAAGTTAAAATGTTTGTGATACTTTTAAGATTTTATCAGTTTAAAGACAGTTATTTATTTTTAAAAATTAAGTTAATTTTGTCTGGGGGTCATTTTTTATACTATAAGAGTATTAATGTAACTTTACTCTATCTTTTATCACTTCCATTTGAAAAATCAATAGTTTCCATTTGTTAAGTTTGAAAGAATTTATTTAATTTAACATTTAAGTAATATTACTAACTTTGTTAGTAAATAAATCATCTAAGCTTTAATAGAAAATGAAGATAAAAGTGTAATTCTTTTAATGATGATGGAAAAAACAATTTATATATTAAATGTTAAAAATTTAAGTTTTGAAATGTATTGTTTACTATACGTTATGTTAAATATAGAAAATTTATTTTTTAAATAGAGTAATTATCATCTATGTGATACATTTGATCTAGTCACTTTTATTTTAATTAGTTAAGTAGTTAATAACTTGGAACAGTTATTTAATTTCCTCTCTTTGGAGGGCATTGAAGTGAAAAATAAAATATAGATCATCATTTGTAAACAAATTTTGAATAATTTTCAATAACATAAAATGTATTTTGTTATATAAATTTAACTAATATCACGCAACCTTTATTTGTATCAGTATCAGTTTATCGATAGAAATTATTAAGTTTTAGTCTAGTTTATCATGTTTTTTTCTTTTTTTTGTAAGAGTGATTTTGTAAAAACTGTGGCCTTGTTTACTAGTTTTTATGAGAAAAATGTTATATTTTTCCAAATTGCATATTTTACTTTTTTTTTTACGATAACATTAATTTATTATTTAATGGAATTCATTGGCTAATGCAGATATTTTAAACAATGTTCTTTCATTAAATACAAAACATCTATCTGACATTTTATTTTCTGATTGAAATTATATTTTTTAAATTTTTGCATTAAATTCCAACTATGCTATCGAAAATGGCAGCCATAATAACATAACAATAAAGATTTTTAAAAATTTAATTAAAATAATTGAAGTTAGTTTGAAAATAAAACAAAATTAATACCAGATTAAGGTTGTCATGTAATCAAAAATTTAGATTGCTGAAACTTTGATTATATTTTTGTTCCAATGTTTGGTTTATGTTAATTAATTAGTTCTGTTTATATTAAAATGAAAAAAAAGAGTTCGAAATTAATAAATTAGGAAATTTTGTTTAAAATTTTAATATTACATTAGCTAACATATATATTTTTACTTTTATTTTTCTTATCTTTTTTATTGTAGAACAGGTATTATGTCTTTGATATGATCTAATTTGGATCTTTTTAATTCAAATAAAATAATTAAGTTCCTTCATATTCCAAAACTAAACTGTTAAATAAGTTAAAGAATGAAATGAAACATCTTTAGCTGATGTTGGAATAAATTGATCTGAAAATGTTCTTTTAATATTCCAATTAATTTTTTACTTTAAAACTTATTTACTGATATAAAAGTTTTAGTAATTCAAATCTTTATTCTAACATTATAAACAATTAACCAGGGCTGTGGAGTCAGAGTCAGAGTCGTCAAAAAATCCGCCGACTCAGACTCCTTTTTACTTCTCGACTTGTTATGTATATAAAACAGAAAAGTATTTTAATCGCGTCAAATTTGACCTGCCAACTTTTTTTTTTTTTTTTTTTTTTTTCAAATCTATACATTTGGAGACCTCCCGAACTCCTCAAAAAAGTCAATAAAAGGGGAAAAATTTGCATGCATGTGTTGGCATGTAATTTGTTTAATTTCTTTATTTTCTGTTCTGAGATATTAAACAATATCTGAGAATGGGTAAAGTTTAAGAAACGAAATATGGCACTGTAGCTTGAGTATAAAGGGGCATTAATACTATTAAATTTTGGTTCTTAATTAAAGGTCGACAGGGTGAAGACATAAAAGTGGTCATGTGTCATATCTTTTAATGAATATTTTACTCGTTATTAGTGTTCAAAATTAAAAAAAAAATAAAACTCGTCTCTACCCTCAAAGTAAGTTTTTTTGGCATTTTATAATAGTACAATAAAACCCGTTAAGATGTTCTCGCCTAAGATGTTAGAATGTGCATGGGGACACAATTTAGTTCAACCACTTTGACGCTTAATAACTAACTCCTGTGTTAAACCATCTGACTCCGATTCTAACCACTCAGACCACAGAAATTATTAGGCTTCAAACGGGGTGAACAAATCATGCCCCACACACACACACAGTATAACATCCACACATATAGAAAAAACCTCAAATCTTTTGCATATCTCGAAATTTCAAGGTGTCCTGAGTCCAAAAAGTAAAAATTTGCTAGGGGTCATTTTTTGACCGAGCACTACACTTTTCCTCTGTTATATATAACAGCCAGAAAAGTAAAAATTATCGAATACATATTTATATATTACTTAGAGAAGTCTTTTAGCTTTGGAATAAAATGTTTCTATGTTCTATTTTTATTAGAACTCTATTTATTGAATCTTTTATTCTGAGGTCACATGATGACATCAGAATTTCCGGTTTACTTTCAGTAACAAGTCCGCCCCTAGTCGGAGTCGGAATCAGAGTTGGAGTCGGAGTCAGATGGTAAGGAAGAGTCGGAGTTGGTAGATTTTTATGTGACTCCAAAGCCCTGCAGTTAACATAAATTTTGAATTATCGTTAATAATTTTGCATCATAATTATTTATGAGTTGTTGTTTTTCAATGTGCTAAAATGAGTTATCAATGACTAATAATTTATTATTCAGTATCATTATAAAGATTTATAATTTAATTATTCAGTAACTTCATCTTGTATCTAAAATGCTTGATTGTTTATTTTAATTTATAACTTATTCATTGAATAATAATAATAAATTTTGAGTTTGTTGTTTAGTAGTTACATTGTGTATTTTTTTAATATGTTTTAATTATGCTATTATTATATTTATATCCTTTTTTATTATAATTAGGAAGTATCAATTTGAAAATCGAGGATATTATTACATGAAATATTTTCAAGAATTGACCTATATATATATTATTAATAAATTGATCATTTGGAATAATTAGATAGTTAATAAATTCCAATTCTTATAAATTTCATCAGAATATATTTATAAACTTATTTGGAGTTATGTTAGAAATTTTTATAACTGAACTTTTCCTTATTCTATCCTTTATACTTCCTTGTATTGAGGTAAATTACTCTTTTATATTTACAAAAGTATATCAATAAATTAATGACTGTTTATATTTACATGTCACCTTGTCCCATATTTATAAAATTATAAGTATAGGGTTCTTAAAATCATTTTTTGTCATTATATTGAATTTATGCTTATTACTATGTCAATTGATAACAGTTAACTAATTTATACTAAGATTACTTTAATATATTTTAAAAATAAAATTATTATTATTAATATTTTATATGATTGCTAGATTTCCTTTTAACTTCATTTGTCTGTAAGTAATTAATAAAATTAAATAATTTGTAGATCCAAACCAATTTTAATTGCTTTATAGTTAGAATTAGTGTACTAATTCTTCGTAATTTAATAAATTTTATAATTAATTAAATAAGAAAACTATATTAAAAACTTAAAACTAGAATAATAAATTTATTTGTAAAGAAATATGGACAAAATGTGATAGTATTTGATGTGAATGTTTATATAGTCAGTGCTGTATTTTATATAATTTAATAGTTGCTATATATTTCTTATATAAAATCATGTTTATTGAAAACTTTTCTTTAAAATAAAATGACTAAAAAAAATTTGTCTACATATTCTTCACATGTTAATCCTGAATAATCTATTGTACTGTACATGCATTGCATATATCAAGTTACCTCTACAGAAATAAAAATTACTACTTTATAAAACATTTATAATTTTGAAAGTTCTAGTGATATTAGATTAAAAGTTGTAGATAAAATTAGAGAAAATAAATGAATAGTTTGTTAAAATTGTTGTCATTTTGCATTATTCCCTTTCTTTAAATATATTTGAATAGTTCAATTTTCGTTTTCATTGATTTTTCTATTTAATTGCATATACATTTTCAGTAAGTACTTTTATTTTTTATGAATATCATAAATCTCATATTATCAGTTCTTTGTTCTTCATTCTTATCTATTCTGATGACTTGAAATTAGTCTCATCCATTTATACAGTTAAAAAAAAATGCATTAATGTTTTAACTATGTAGATTTCTATCTAGTAATCATACTTTTTACATTAGAACTAAAATAACTTTTTATTTCCAATAAAATTAGCTCATACATTTTTGTAGAAATGAATTACTTTTGTATAAAATGTATTAAAGATTTATACAAGAAAATCTCATAACTTTTATTTTTATATTCTTAATTAGTATTTATTTCAAATTTAAAATTACTAACTATGTCTAAAGTAATTAATATTTTTTGACTTCAAAAAAATGTATACTATTTTTCTTAATTATTATTATATAATATAATTACAATGTATCATTTTGTTATAAAAATGATGCTGTTCTAATTTGTTGCTCTTGAAGCATATTTTGAAAATTTTATCAAATTATATAAATATCTTCAAGGTTAAAAATATATTTTCTTTCATATAAGTTATATGTCAGATTATCAGAATTATTAGATTTAATGTAGTTTTTTTTTTTAATCTTATCTTATTCAGTACTTATTGAATTTTGTAAGTGTACTATCATTTGTTACATGATTTATCTTTTAACTTTCTTTTCCATTTAATTTCATTACTCATTATTTTCTGCGCCATTGTCATTTATTATGTAATTTTTATATTTTAATATCTATTTTTTGTACATGTTAATTGTAGCTTCTACTTGAACTGAAGGTCAAGTTGATTTTTCCTCACTTAATTATACGTATAATTCTCTTTTCAAATTAATGGTTATTTGTATTTTTCAAGGTGTAAATGACAAGTGTCTATTTTAATTATTTGAGAGTGTGCTTATGTATATGTAGTCTTTAAAGAAATGATTATATTTAGTATATGCATTTGTAATTTAATACATCATGAATATGTTTATATTTTCTAACTTTTTATGCTGTATGACTACATTATCTAACTATTCATAAAAATATTCAAATAAACTCAAAACAAGCAAAATTTGTATTACTAAATATATTTATTTCTTTTGGGGGTTTGGTGTATTTGAGTTTGTTTTTATTATGTACAGGTACAACCAGTTGTTGATGTGGTGAATATTCTAACTATTCATGTTGTTTGACAACATTATCTAACTTTTTTCATAAACATTTAAAATGGGCCATTTATGTTAAAAGAATATAAATTTTATTTTTTACAGACTCCAAATAATGAATTTTTAAAGTTGAAAATCTGGTTAAAACATAGTTCTGATTCAAAAGGATTTGGTTTTTCATTAAGAGGCGGTAAAGATCAAGGAACACCTGTATTTGTAGATTCAGTCACTCCAGGTATATTCATCTTTAAATTAAAAATTATATTATTTAAAATAAAAGATTAAAATTTTTTCTGTTATTTAGGAGGTGCTAGTGAAGTTGCTGGATTAAAAGTTGGAGATGAGATTAGAGAAATAAATGGAGAAAGCTGTTATGGTCGTTGTCATTCTGCTCTGGTATTTGCAGTTAAGCAAGCAGTGTACACTGGTCTTTTAGATTTGGTAATAAAGAGAGCTAGTGACTCAGGTATATACCACAAGTAATATATTCATATATTCTATAATATAATAGAATAATTGGAATAAAATTTTAAGAGACATTTTAAAAATTATAAATGCAAAAAGAAAGTTTAAATTAAAATAACTTTGCAATTTGTGCTGTTTATGCACATTTTTTTTATTTAGAGGTGAATAAATAGGGCTGGTTGAGAAAAATAAAATATATTTTGAACTATAATAGTAAGAGTTGAACAACCATAGATAATAAGGAAATCCTGTTTAACCAGTTATTTCAAAAAGATTTGAACATGCACTCTTGCATGAACATTTTTTATGTGATTTAATAAATTATATATAAATTTGGGAAAGATGAAAAATAGAATTTATGATTTACATATTTGTAAAATTTAATTCTCTTATTATGATGATTATTATCATTATTATAAAATATTTTATTTTGTTTCATAAATTAGGAGAACTTTCTATACTAAATATTTTACATGTATAAAAATTGAATAATATAAGCAATAATATATTAATATATTAATTATGCTATCTCAAAAGAATTAGCATTTAATATCTTGTTGAGAAAGAAACAAAATTAACAATTAGAATATGTACCTTACAAAAGAAATTTGCAAATATATTACTATAATTTTTTTTTTCAATATTAAAGACATTACAAATTTATTACAAATTTTGCATAATAATCATGAAATAATTGTATTTTTTACTTATTACTTAAATTTAAGAGTTTACTAATATTAAAAAGTGATGATGATAACATTAAAAAAAANATAGTTGCTATATATTTCTTATATAAAATCATGTTTATTGAAAACTTTTCTTTAAAATAAAATGACTAAAAAAAATTTGTCTACATATTCTTCACATGTTAATCCTGAATAATCTATTGTACTGTACATGTATTGCATATATCAAGTTACCTCTACAGAAATAAAAATTACTACTTTATAAAACATTTATAATTTTGAAAGTTCTAGTGATATTAGATTAAAAGTTGTAGATAAAATTAGAGAAAATAAATGAATAGTTTGTTAAAATTGTTGTCATTTTGCATTATTCCCTTTCTTTAAATATATTTGAATAGTTCAATTTTCGTTTTCATTGATTTTTCTATTTAATTGCATATACATTTTCAGTAAGTACTTTTATTTTTTATGAATATCATAAATCTCATATTATCAGTTCTTTGTTCTTCATTCTTATCTATTCTGATGACTTGAAATTAGTCTCATCCATTTATACAGTTAAAAAAAAATGCATTAATGTTTTAACTATGTAGATTTCTATCTAGTAATCATACTTTTTACATTAGAACTAAAATAACTTTATTTCCAATGAAATTAGCTCATACATTTTTGTAGAAATGAATTACTTTTGTATAAAATGTATTAAAGATTTATACAAGAAAATCTCATAACTTTTATTTTTATCTTCTTAATTAGTATTTATTTCAAATTTAAAATTACTAACTATGTCTAAAGTAATTAATATTTTTTGACTTCAAAAAAATGTATACTATTTTTCTTAATTATTATTATATAATATAATTACAATGTATCATTTTGTTATAAAAATGATGCTGTTCTAATTTGTTGCTCTTGAAGCATATTTTGAAAATTTTATCAAATTATATAAATATCTTCAAGGTTAAAAATATATTTTCTTTCATATAAGTTATATGTCAGATTATCAGAATTATTAGATTTAATGTAGTTTTTTTTTTTAATCTTATCTTATTCAGTACTTATTGAATTTTGTAAGTGTACTATCATTTGTTACATGATTTATCTTTTAACTTTCTTTTCCATTTAATTTCATTACTCATTATTTTCTGCGCCATTGTCATTTATTATGTAATTTTTATATTTTAATATCTATTTTTTGTACATGTTAATTGTAGCTTCTACTTGAACTGAAGGTCAAGTTGATTTTTCCTCACTTAATTATACGTATAATTCTCTTTTCAAATTAATGGTTATTTGTATTTTTCAAGGTGTAAATGACAAGTGTCTATTTTAATTATTTGAGAGTGTGCTTATGTATATGTAGTCTTTAAAGAAATGATTATATTTAGTATATGCATTTGTAATTTAATACATCATGAATATGTTTATATTTTCTAACTTTTTATGCTGTATGACTACATTATCTAACTATTCATAAAAATATTCAAATAAACTCAAAACAAGCAAAATTTGTATTACTAAATATATTTATTTCTTTTGGGGGTTTGGTGTATTTGAGTTTGTTTTTATTATGTACAGGTACAACCAGTTGTTGATGTGGTGAATATTCTAACTATTCATGTTGTTTGACAACATTATCTAACTTTTTTCATAAACATTTAAAATGGGCCATTTATGTTAAAAGAATATAAATTTTATTTTTTACAGACTCCAAATAATGAATTTTTAAAGTTGAAAATCTGGTTAAAACATAGTTCTGATTCAAAAGGATTTGGTTTTTCATTAAGAGGCGGTAAAGATCAAGGAACACCTGTATTTGTAGATTCAGTCACTCCAGGTATATTCATCTTTAAATTAAAAATTATATTATTTAAAATAAAAGATTAAAATTTTTTCTGTTATTTAGGAGGTGCTAGTGAAGTTGCTGGATTAAAAGTTGGAGATGAGATTAGAGAAATAAATGGAGAAAGCTGTTATGGTCGTTGTCATTCTGCTCTGGTATTTGCAGTTAAGCAAGCAGTGTACACTGGTCTTTTAGATTTGGTAATAAAGAGAGCTAGTGACTCAGGTATATACCACAAGTAATATATTCATATATTCTATAATATAATAGAATAATTGGAATAAAATTTTAAGAGACATTTTAAAAATTATAAATGCAAAAAGAAAGTTTAAATTAAAATAACTTTGCAATTTGTGCTGTTTATGCACATTTTTTTTATTTAGAGGTGAATAAATAGGGCTGGTTGAGAAAAATAAAATATATTTTGAACTATAATAGTAAGAGTTGAACAACCATAGATAATAAGGAAATCCTGTTTAACCAGTTATTTCAAAAAGATTTGAACATGCACTCTTGCATGAACATTTTTTATGTGATTTAATAAATTATATATAAATTTGGGAAAGATGAAAAATAGAATTTATGATTTACATATTTGTAAAATTTAATTCTCTTATTATGATGATTATTATCATTATTATAAAATATTTTATTTTGTTTCATAAATTAGGAGAACTTTCTATACTAAATATTTTACATGTATAAAAATTGAATAATATAAGCAATAATATATTAATATATTAATTATGCTATCTCAAAAGAATTAGCATTTAATATCTTGTTGAGAAAGAAACAAAATTAACAATTAGAATATGTACCTTACAAAAGAAATTTGCAAATATATTACTATAATTTTTTTTTTCAATATTAAAGACATTACAAATTTATTACAAATTTTGCATAATAATCATGAAATAATTGTATTTTTTACTTATTACTTAAATTTAAGAGTTTACTAATATTAAAAAGTGATGATGATAACATTAAAAAAAAAATAGATTTTATTAAATTTCCTGAAGGAAATTATAAAATCTATTTACTATTTTGGAAATAATTTTACATTATTTTGGTGTATTATACAGTTTAAATATATTAATTTACTTAAAATGAAAAACTGAATGAAAATTATGTATTGTTTGTACTTAAACCTTCTCTTTAATTTCAAATCCTATAATTTCTGTTCTTTTTGTTTTTATTATAAAAAATTCAATTTTATTTAAAAAAGTACTGATTAATTTATTAATTTGGAAAACATTTTTTATATTATCAAAATATTCAGCCAGGTTAATAAAGAAAAGATATATAACTTAATATTTTCAATAATATACTGTAGTCAAAAATAAAAACAAGATTAAATTAATATATATTGAAAACTAATTCTATTTTTATTATGAATTTAATTATTATAATTTAATTGCAAATAGAAGATTAAACAGTAGTAAAAGTAATTTTAAAAGTATGAAACACTATATTTCATTTATTCTAAAAACAATTATTTCAAAATATAAATAATATGAGGGTGTCTAGAAAATAGAGAACATTTGGCCATAAAAAAAAGAAAACAGTAATGAAAGGAAAAAGTTTTATTAAGTAATTAATACAAGACCAGTTATTTTTCTACATAGTTGCCATCATGATTAAAGCACTTGTCAGAGTGTGCATTAGTTTTGATTCCTTTGTCAAGGACTTCCACCACCAGTTCTTTCAGCCCATTGGTAGCAGTTTCTTTCACTTCATCATCTGTTCCAAAATGTTTGCCATCTAAAAACTCTTTCAGCTTGGGAAAGAGATGAAAGTCACTGGGTGTCAGGCCAGGACTGTGTGGCATGTGATCAAAAACGTCCCACAGCATAGTGGCTGCAGAAGCGTGCAGGCAGTTCCTTGATTAAACATTATTTTCTCACACTTACTTTGTATATAATGTGATCACCATACACTTTCATGATTTGCTTATGAGTTTCTATAATCCAAACTTTCANTTTTATCAAATTATATAAATATCTTCAAGGTTAAAAATATATTTTCTTTCATATAAGTTATATGTCAGATTATCAGAATTATTAGATTTAATGTAGTTTTTTTTTTTAATCTTATCTTATTCAGTACTTATTGAATTTTGTAAGTGTACTATCATTTGTTACATGATTTATCTTTTAACTTTCTTTTCCATTTAATTTCATTACTCATTATTTTCTGCGCCATTGTCATTTATTATGTAATTTTTATATTTTAATATCTATTTTTTGTACATGTTAATTGTAGCTTCTACTTGAACTGAAGGTCAAGTTGATTTTTCCTCACTTAATTATACGTATAATTCTCTTTTCAAATTAATGGTTATTTGTATTTTTCAAGGTGTAAATGACAAGTGTCTATTTTAATTATTTGAGAGTGTGCTTATGTATATGTAGTCTTTAAAGAAATGATTATATTTAGTATATGCATTTGTAATTTAATACATCATGAATATGTTTATATTTTCTAACTTTTTATGCTGTATGACTACATTATCTAACTATTCATAAAAATATTCAAATAAACTCAAAACAAGCGAAATTTGTATTACTAAATATATTTATTTCTTTTGGGGGTTTTGGTGTATTTGAGTTTGTTTTTATTATGTACAGGTACAACCAGTTGTTGATGTGGTGAATATTCTAACTATTCATGTTGTTTGACAACATTATCTAACTTTTTTCATAAACATTTAAAATGGGCCATTTATGTTAAAAGAATATAAATTTTATTTTTTACAGACTCCAAATAATGAATTTTTAAAGTTGAAAATCTGGTTAAAACATAGTTCTGATTCAAAAGGATTTGGTTTTTCATTAAGAGGCGGTAAAGATCAAGGAACACCTGTATTTGTAGATTCAGTCACTCCAGGTATATTCATCTTTAAATTAAAAATTATATTATTTAAAATAAAAGATTAAAATTTTTTCTGTTATTTAGGAGGTGCTAGTGAAGTTGCTGGATTAAAAGTTGGAGATGAGATTAGAGAAATAAATGGAGAAAGCTGTTATGGTCGTTGTCATTCTGCTCTGGTATTTGCAGTTAAGCAAGCAGTGTACACTGGTCTTTTAGATTTGGTAATAAAGAGAGCTAGTGACTCAGGTATATACCACAAGTAATATATTCATATATTCTATAATATAATAGAATAATTGGAATAAAATTTTAAGAGACATTTTAAAAATTATAAATGCAAAAAGAAAGTTTAAATTAAAATAACTTTGCAATTTGTGCTGTTTATGCACATTTTTTTTATTTAGAGGTGAATAAATAGGGCTGGTTGAGAAAAATAAAATATATTTTGAACTATAATAGTAAGAGTTGAACAACCATAGATAATAAGGAAATCCTGTTTAACCAGTTATTTCAAAAAGATTTGAACATGCACTCTTGCATGNGTATATGTAAAAAAAAAAACTATCACAACCAAACAATATGTATCCATTGTTTCAAACAAAATCACCTGCAGGAAAATTTTTGAAGAGGGCAATTATAGTATATTTTAAAGACTATAAAGGAAGTTTCTTGTTTAAAATTACTCTCATATGATTTATTATTCATAAGGGAGTAATTTTAAATCCTAAAAATGCAATAGTCTGGGATGATCTCATTTTCTATAAAATAGATGTTTCATAATGTAACTGTAAGGACAAAAAGATAATTATTTATATTAGAAGTATCTGAATAGACAATTACATCTCAAGACAATGAAACAAGAATCAGTCTTTATATTAATCTTCAAGTTTTTTTGATTTGCAAATAGAATAACTGAATTCTGTTCTAAAATAAAATTAAATGAAAGAATTTGGATAGCTAATTCATTTTTGTATCTGTTATAGGCAAAATTATATTTATGATATTTATGATTATTTATTTATGATTCTATAGTTTATATAAATTAGAAATTTTAGAATTTCATTTTCATTAATAAATTGTACAAAATTAAGATTTATTAATAATACAACATATCTCTTAATCTGATTTGAATGTGCAATGGATCTTTATCATTCATAGAATACCTCCACAATCATACACATATCAAAATATAACCATTATCATATTAGACTTTTTCAAGCTATTTTAAGTATTATGTTCTCAAAGTATACTATTAATGGTCTACAATGTCAAAATATGATCTAATGAAAGCCAAATATACAAGGCCCCAAAAGAATGGAGAACTGTTGGTGCAAAATAAGATTAATAAAGAAAAGATATATAACTTAATATTTTCAATAATATACTGTAGTCAAAAATAAAAACAAGATTAAATTAATATATATTGAAAACTAATTCTATTTTTATTATGAATTTAATTATTATAATTTAATTGCAAATAGAAGATTAAACAGTAGTAAAAGTAATTTTAAAAGTATGAAACACTATATTTCATTTATTCTAAAAACAATTATTTCAAAATATAAATAATATGAGGGTGTCTAGAAAATAGAGAACATTTGGCCATAAAAAAAAGAAAACAGTAATGAAAGGAAAAAGTTTTATTAAGTAATTAATACAAGACCAGTTATTTTTCTACATAGTTGCCATCATGATTAAAGCACTTGTCAGAGTGTGCATTAGTTTTGATTCCTTTGTCAAGGACTTCCACCACCAGTTCTTTCAGCCCATTGGTAGCAGTTTCTTTCACTTCATCATCTGTTCCAAAATGTTTGCCATCTAAAAACTCTTTCAGCTTGGGAAAGAGATGAAAGTCACTGGGTGTCAGGCCAGGACTGTGTGGCATGTGATCAAAAACGTCCCACAGCATAGTGGCTGCAGAAGCGTGCAGGCAGTTCCTTGATTAAACATTATTTTCTCACACTTACTTTGTATATAATGTGATCACCATACACTTTCATGATTTGCTTATGAGTTTCTATAAGACAAACTTTCATTGCATTTAAAAAACAAATAACACTTTGTACTTTTCATGTGGCAGGATTTTCAATTTTTGTACACATTTTAACCCTTGACAACAGTAACAATAAGTCTCCCATCATTGAAACTCTATGTGCACTAAGCCAGGGCTTCTTAAACTATGGGTCGTGACCCTATTTGGGGTCGGATAGCGATATCTTGGGTCGCAAGATTTTGATGCAAAATATTGAAAATAATTTGTGAGAGTTTGAAAATGGCACGCTTTGTGTCATAGGTTTCATGAGTTGCGCTTTGTTCACTTCTGGTGCAGAGAGACAGCAATTCAGCAACACTGTAGTGTGAACTAGTGTAGTGTTGTCGCTTTTCAGTGTATTCAGTTGTCTCTGTTCCATTGTAACACAAGAGTGAACTGTGGTAGTACACCATTATTGCTTTTCCAAATTTGTATATATCTTTATTTTAGATTGTGATTTTTTTTACAACCCAAAAAATCATAAATGAGGTTGTGAATAAAAAAGTTTAAGAAGCCCTGCACTAAGCTAACACATCAGAGAACAAATTGACCTTGAATCAATGGTGGTCATTCACCTATGCAGAATGCTATGTGCAAATGTTCTGTATTTTCTGAATGCCCCTCATAATATATGAATAAAGAAAAATTTTTTAAATTTGTAATTTTATGATGCTATAAATTACATTTAAGTTCAAATTACTACTAAAAACTATTTTTCAAGCTTTTTAATTGAAGTTTTTACTGTATTAGCATTATAAAACAGATTTATAAGACAATATAAATTAGGAAAATGATCATATTCATTCCTGGAATCAAAATTAATAAAATAATTTTTAAAATTTTGTTTTGTGTGTGTAATATATACACATTTATGCAAATTTTACAAAAAATTATAGATAGTCAATAACAATAATAATTATAGTAAAACAGTATATGTAAAAAAAAAAACTATCACAACCAAACAATATGTATCCATTGTTTCAAACAAAATCACCTGCAGGAAAATTTTTGAAGAGGGCAATTATAGTATATTTTAAAGACTATAAAGGAAGTTTCTTGTTTAAAATTACTCTCATATGATTTATTATTCATAAGGGAGTAATTTTAAATCCTAAAAATGCAATAGTCTGGGATGATCTCATTTTCTATAAAATAGATGTTTCATAATGTAACTGTAAGGACAAAAAGATAATTATTTATATTAGAAGTATCTGAATAGACAATTACATCTCAAGACAATGAAACAAGAATCAGTCTTTATATTAATCTTCAAGTTTTTTTGATTTGCAAATAGAATAACTGAATTCTGTTCTAAAATAAAATTAAATGAAAGAATTTGGATAGCTAATTCATTTTTGTATCTGTTATAGGCAAAATTATATTTATGATATTTATGATTATTTATTTATGATTCTATAGTTTATATAAATTAGAAATTTTAGAATTTCATTTTCATTAATAAATTGTACAAAATTAAGATTTATTAATAATACAACATATCTCTTAATCTGATTTGAATGTGCAATGGATCTTTATCATTCATAGAATACCTCCACAATCATACACATATCAAAATATAACCATTATCATATTAGACTTTTTCAAGCTATTTTAAGTATTATGTTCTCAAAGTATACTATTAATGGTCTACAATGTCAAAATATGATCTAATGAAAGCCAAATATACAAGGCCCCAAAAGAATGGAGAACTGTTGGTGCAAAATAAAATAATGATATTGAAGTAGAATAATAATCTGGTATAAATGTTAGCCCATAGCCAAAGTTATTTCATTATTTGGAAAAGTAATCAGAAAATGGACAATTTTTTAATTTTTTTTCCTCTGATGGAACCTCTAAAGTTCATGGGCCTGGATCATTGGACTAACAAAGTTGCACTCTCTCTTATAGGGCCTGCAGATATATATATATATATATATTTACTAGTCTTTATAAGTACTTATTTTAAATGTAATGGACACAAAATTCTACTCTGTGACAATTTTTCTAGTTTACATTTGATTAAAATTATAAAACATTTCCAGATGATATAATTAAAAATATAGTTGAAGTGTTAAAAAAGTAATATTTTATTTTATTATAACATTGTAGCACTATTGGCAGAAAGTCTTTATTCTGAATTTATGTGATGCCAAGAAAATATTTTTGTTTGTACATAATTGTTTCTAATTATTTATTCTGATCAAATTTAGCATTTATAAAGTTTGTTTTTTAATTTATTAGTTCTTTAGTTCTAATATAGAATTTTATCATCTTATACTATGATATATTTGATAAAAATTGAAAGAGTTGACATATATTAATTAAAATGATCAATTTTAATATTTTAATGAGTTTACTAATGAATAAAATTTTTTTGTGTTCAAATATGATATAAAATGTCTAATTTCTATAAAAAATTTCATTTTTTATGAAATAGTTTAGAAAAATTAGTCATATTATTACGTTAATGAAAAATGATAATACAGTAGAGCATCGATTATCCGAAACAATTCAGGACTGGGGTTGTTCGGGATAAACGATTTTTTGGATAACTGATCATTTACAAAAAAATATATTAAACACAAAACTGTACTGTATATAATTTGTATCACATGTCTTACAAATACATACCTTACATAATGTAATACATTAAACTAGGCCTACAGTTCAGTTTGGCAGGGAGGGGAAGAGTGCTGCAACGCCACAGCCCTAGCGGAAATTTGAATTTGCGAACTGGAATGCTTTCGTTTAACCGATGTTTCGGTTGATCAGTATTCGGATAATTGATGCTCTACTGTACTCTTAATTTATTGTGCAAACATAAAATGAAAATAAATTCATTTATAATGGCAGATTAATCTTCTGGCTAGAACGTGGCTAGTGAATTTAATAAATACTATGTAATTTTGGATTAAAGCATGCACATATAAGTGATTTTTAAATTAAGGACAATTACTTTTATTAACATACTTTCTGATATGTTGAGACTAGTGAACAATTTATGTTCAGCAATACAGTAACCTGTTTATTCTTCCAAAATTATTAATGTATTTGAGTGTGTTAGTTGCTTCATTGGGATAGTGTATGTATGTGTATATATACTTTACATATTTTTTATGTGGATAGATATTTTAAAAATTAATTTACCATACACTTGGTATATTATTTACTTACTAACACAAAAGCTTCCATTTAGTTAATATATGTATGATATGTTAAGTAATTTAATATATGTTAATGTAAGATTAATGGAAAAAATTTAAGCCTGAGCTTTTTGTTCAATTTCTTACATAAGTATATATAATTAATTTTAACAATTAACAATTTTAAGTATATATATATATACTTAAAATTGTTTTCAGTTTATAACTTGAATAATGCATTAATAAATGTAAACAATAGTTTATGATTCTATAGTTTATATAAATTAGAAATTTTAGAATTTCATTTTCATTAATAAATTGTACAAAATTAAGATTTATTAATAATACAACATATCTCTTAATCTGATTTGAATGTGCAATGGATCTTTATCATTCATAGAATACCTCCACAATCATACNAACTAGTGTAGTGTTGTCGCTTTTCAGTGTATTCAGTTGTCTCTGTTCCATTGTAACACAAGAGTGAACTGTGGTAGTACACCATTATTGCTTTTCCAAATTTGTATATATCTTTATTTTAGATTGTGATTTTTTTTACAACCCAAAAAATCATAAATGAGGTTGTGAATAAAAAAGTTTAAGAAGCCCTGCACTAAGCTAACACATCAGAGAACAAATTGACCTTGAATCAATGGTGGTCATTCACCTATGCAGAATGCTATGTGCAAATGTTCTGTATTTTCTGAATGCCCCTCATAATATATGAATAAAGAAAAATTTTTTAAATTTGTAATTTTATGATGCTATAAATTACATTTAAGTTCAAATTACTACTAAAAACTATTTTTCAAGCTTTTTAATTGAAGTTTTTACTGTATTAGCATTATAAAACAGATTTATAAGACAATATAAATTAGGAAAATGATCATATTCATTCCTGGAATCAAAATTAATAAAATAATTTTTAAAATTTTTCATTTGAATGATTTCAGTATAGTAAACTACATTTCTGAAGAATTGAAAGTATTAAAAATATATTTTCTTTCATATAAGTTATATGTCAGATTATCAGAATTATTAGATTTAATGTAGTTTTTTTTTTTAATCTTATCTTATTCAGTACTTATTGAATTTTGTAAGTGTACTATCATTTGTTACATGATTTATCTTTTAACTTTCTTTTCCATTTAATTTCATTACTCATTATTTTCTGCGCCATTGTCATTTATTATGTAATTTTTATATTTTAATATCTATTTTTTGTACATGTTAATTGTAGCTTCTACTTGAACTGAAGGTCAAGTTGATTTTTCCTCACTTAATTATACGTATAATTCTCTTTTCAAATTAATGGTTATTTGTATTTTTCAAGGTGTAAATGACAAGTGTCTATTTTAATTATTTGAGAGTGTGCTTATGTATATGTAGTCTTTAAAGAAATGATTATATTTAGTATATGCATTTGTAATTTAATACATCATGAATATGTTTATATTTTCTAACTTTTTATGCTGTATGACTACATTATCTAACTATTCATAAAAATATTCAAATAAACTCAAAACAAGCAAAATTTGTATTACTAAATATATTTATTTCTTTTGGGGGTTTGGTGTATTTGAGTTTGTTTTTATTATGTACAGGTACAACCAGTTGTTGATGTGGTGAATATTCTAACTATTCATGTTGTTTGACAACATTATCTAACTTTTTTCATAAACATTTAAAATGGGCCATTTATGTTAAAAGAATATAAATTTTATTTTTTACAGACTCCAAATAATGAATTTTTAAAGTTGAAAATCTGGTTAAAACATAGTTCTGATTCAAAAGGATTTGGTTTTTCATTAAGAGGCGGTAAAGATCAAGGAACACCTGTATTTGTAGATTCAGTCACTCCAGGTATATTCATCTTTAAATTAAAAATTATATTATTTAAAATAAAAGATTAAAATTTTTTCTGTTATTTAGGAGGTGCTAGTGAAGTTGCTGGATTAAAAGTTGGAGATGAGATTAGAGAAATAAATGGAGAAAGCTGTTATGGTCGTTGTCATTCTGCTCTGGTATTTGCAGTTAAGCAAGCAGTGTACACTGGTCTTTTAGATTTGGTAATAAAGAGAGCTAGTGACTCAGGTATATACCACAAGTAATATATTCATATATTCTATAATATAATAGAATAATTGGAATAAAATTTTAAGAGACATTTTAAAAATTATAAATGCAAAAAGAAAGTTTAAATTAAAATAACTTTGCAATTTGTGCTGTTTATGCACATTTTTTTTATTTAGAGGTGAATAAATAGGGCTGGTTGAGAAAAATAAAATATATTTTGAACTATAATAGTAAGAGTTGAACAACCATAGATAATAAGGAAATCCTGTTTAACCAGTTATTTCAAAAAGATTTGAACATGCACTCTTGCATGAACATTTTTTATGTGATTTAATAAATTATATATAAATTTGGGAAAGATGAAAAATAGAATTTATGATTTACATATTTGTAAAATTTAATTCTCTTATTATGATGATTATTATCATTATTATAAAATATTTTATTTTGTTTCATAAATTAGGAGAACTTTCTATACTAAATATTTTACATGTATAAAAATTGAATAATATAAGCAATAATATATTAATATATTAATTATGCTATCTCAAAAGAATTAGCATTTAATATCTTGTTGAGAAAGAAACAAAATTAACAATTAGAATATGTACCTTACAAAAGAAATTTGCAAATATATTACTATAATTTTTTTTTTCAATATTAAAGACATTACAAATTTATTACAAATTTTGCATAATAATCATGAAATAATTGTATTTTTTACTTATTACTTAAATTTAAGAGTTTACTAATATTAAAAAGTGATGATGATAACATTAAAAAAAAAATAGATTTTATTAAATTTCCTGAAGGAAATTATAAAATCTATTTACTATTTTGGAAATAATTTTACATTATTTTGGTGTATTATACAGTTTAAATATATTAATTTACTTAAAATGAAAAACTGAATGAAAATTATGTATTGTTTGTACTTAAACCTTCTCTTTAATTTCAAATCCTATAATTTCTGTTCTTTTTGTTTTTATTATAAAAAATTCAATTTTATTTAAAAAAGTACTGATTAATTTATTAATTTGGAAAACATTTTTTATATTATCAAAATATTCAGCCAGGTTAATAAAGAAAAGATATATAACTTAATATTTTCAATAATATACTGTAGTCAAAAATAAAAACAAGATTAAATTAATATATATTGAAAACTAATTCTATTTTTATTATGAATTTAATTATTATAATTTAATTGCAAATAGAAGATTAAACAGTAGTAAAAGTAATTTTAAAAGTATGAAACACTATATTTCATTTATTCTAAAAACAATTATTTCAAAATATAAATAATATGAGGGTGTCTAGAAAATAGAGAACATTTGGCCATAAAAAAAAGAAAACAGTAATGAAAGGAAAAAGTTTTATTAAGTAATTAATACAAGACCAGTTATTTTTCTACATAGTTGCCATCATGATTAAAGCACTTGTCAGAGTGTGCATTAGTTTTGATTCCTTTGTCAAGGACTTCCACCACCAGTTCTTTCAGCCCATTGGTAGCAGTTTCTTTCACTTCATCATCTGTTCCAAAATGTTTGCCATCTAAAAACTCTTTCAGCTTGGGAAAGAGATGAAAGTCACTGGGTGTCAGGCCAGGACTGTGTGGCATGTGATCAAAAACGTCCCACAGCANATAATGTTGTAGATACGTTCCACTTTATAAGAATTTTGCGTTGTAGGAATCCTTAAATACATGAGCCAATCACAGCCCAGCACGTGTGCAGTTTACGGACTATGGCTGTTTGAAAGGTTTTCTTCCATAAAATTAATCGATTCTAGACTAATTTGACTCAAAATTTCCAAAACATGTATAATTTTTTGGGAATAATTTGTATAAACTATGGATTACTTACCGAGTGTGCACCGTTCGATGACGCCATTGCTTAAGGTTGTTTTTGTCGTGGAGCAGTGCACCAAACAGTGGTTGCATTTTCTAATAAGTTATTTTTCTGCAAAAAATTCTCTGAACTTTGGAGACATCATTAATAGAAATAATTTTTATTGCCGTTGAATAAGAAATGTGTTTTTCACAAGGAATGTATAAAATTACAGTACTGTGTTAGACTTACAGTATCTAATTTATATACTGTACAGACAATAGTAAACTCAACTTACCCGCCTAAACTCTGTGTAGTGTGTAAGTAGTTCAGCTGCTCATCCATTATTGGTCCAGATTCAACCAATCCTGTCGTGACATGAGTCTGCAATGACGTTTTACCGCATTTTACGAGTCTCTTTTAGCGTCTTTATACGAATACGGTCGCAATTTTTTCACCGCGATATATGAATCCGCATTATATGAACCCGCGTTATAGGGGGTGTCTACTGTGTATATATATATATACTTAAAATTGTTTTCAGTTTATAACTTGAATAATGCATTAATAAATGTAAACAATAGTTATAGTAGGCCTATATATATTGATTAATATTGAAGAAAAATGGTGATTTTATTAATAAAATTTTTTACTTATTATTGTAGATAATATCGAAGCAAAGGATAGCCAACCACAGATAATATCTCGAAGAGGATCTGCATTTGCTCAGAGAATTGCAATGTTCAATAATAGTATTGAAAACCAAAGTTCTCAAGACAATCAAAAGAGCGAACCTTATGATTTCCGAAATAAGGCAGACTCAATTGTTCTTAGGAGGCGATCTACTTTTGAAACAGCAACTCAAAATAAAGAACAAACTGCAAGTAATAGATGGTCAACAAGTGTAACTCGTGATTCATATTCTGGAGGTTTTAGTGTTCAAGATAGAAAGAATTCTTTTGAATCATTTGCAACAATGGATCATTCTACAGAAGTTAAATCTTTTACTAGTAAAAAACTTCCACCACCAGTTCCAGCTAAGCCAAAATCTAAAATGAGTACATCTATTGAATCTATTGAGTCATTACATGATTTATCAAAGGAAGCACCAGTAGAAAGTAATGAACTACCTGAAAAGAAAAATATTTGTATGGAGACTCCAAAGTTAACAGAAAGTGAAGTTTTGATAACAACTACACTGGATACTATGCAATTAAATGAAATTGAAAGGAAAGAAGAACCAGAAATAATAAAATTAAATGAAGATAAAAATGTTGAAACATTAAAAGAGTTGTGTGAAAATTGTTTAACAAAATCTGGTTCTCCTCCTCTTGAACAAAATGCAAAATTAGATGATATTGAAAAAAATAATCAAGTAAGTAGTAAATACAGATATCATTTATGTAATTTTTGCCTGTAAATTACAATTACCTCTCTCATTTTTTTCCAAGTTATTATCAGTTGCATGTTTTAACATTTATTTTTTATTAATACAATAGATAATGATTTGTATTAAATTTACATTTACAGTGAAGTACAGTTACAAAAACAAAAATATTTGTCTGGTTTGTTAATGTAAACAAGAGTGGATTGTTAAGAACATAATTTGAACACTTAACAACGTATAGAAACATTTTAATTATGACTCAGGAGACTCTATTAAATAACGATAATTTATATTTCAGCTGAAATACAATATATAAATTATGAATTTTATATTTCTGTAGTAAATNATAATAATTTCATTTTAACTAATTTAATTTTGTGATGATAATATCATGAGTTGTTCATTTGATGTGCTTCTGGTTTACAGAAAAGGGTCTAGAGCAATTGGCAGTCAACCCAGAGTTTGGGAATAAAATCATCTTTAGCAATGAGATACATTTCTTGTTAAATGGATGTGTAAATGAGCAAAGCTGCAATACCCTGGGTTGGTAGAAGACTCAGTGGGAACACTGCAAGGTCAGGGTGTTATAAAACAAAGGGAACAAAAAGTCATTTTTAAACAAAAAGTTTTAGTATTGAACTTCAAATAGCTACACTGTAAAGTCAATTTTTCAGACATATGACTTAATGTGTTGGCAGGATTGAAAAAGTGCTTCTCATCTTAAACATGGTGAGAAAATACATAAGTTGCAATTGTATGAGCCAAATGAACTAAACTAACTATTGGAAAAATTGATTAATTAATTATGATATTATTATAGAAATTTCTAATTGTTTGTAAAACTGTTACCCCTTTTAAGTTCTAGTATGACCATATTAATAATATATAAAAAAATATATAGGGAAAGGTGAGGTAAGATAGTGATAAGCTTTTTTATTTAAATAAAGCTGAAATACTGACAGAATAAACATTATTCTTTCATTTTAACAAGTTTAACCATTATACTGAAACATGCAATATCTATAATACTTTCATCATAATTATTTTATGTAGAACTTTTATTGTAAAAGTATTGCCAATTGATTTTTTATATAATGTGGTGCTGTTTGAAATCTGGCAGTGTTTAAAATAATAAGAGTTTGTTGTCTTACTTCCCATTTCAAATAGTTGAATGGATTGATTTTACAATGCTGTTTACTAATATTGAACCAAAGAGGAAAAAATTAGACTCATCAAGTAAGGCCCATCCTTCACATTAATCATTCAGTTTAACTAATCAAGTACATTAAGATACTTTTGGGCAATTATTTTTTAGTTTATAAAATAAATGCTTAAATTAAAAAATGTTTATTTAAAATGAAACAGGTTGTATAATATTTTTACATATTTAATTTGTATAAAAGCTCTTTTCTAACATTTAGTTTTTGTTTTGTCAACCATTTCATGGTATTGATTTGTTGTTATATACATTCTGGCTCTCTCTGCTCTCTTGATATTGCTGATGATGAATGTTAATCTTGAAAGTATTTACTGTTATGGTTGTTTTATCTTATTGTTTGTGTAATTTTATTCCATTAAAACAATTTAATTATTTGCTTATTGAATTAAACTTTTAAATAAATTATCTATTGTATGAATTAGGCATTATATAAATTTTGATGAAAAATTAATTTTTAATTACTAAATATTAAAACTTTTTAAATAGAATTTATATATTTAATTTTATAAAGTTTTTTTCAGTGGAAACTGTTTAATATGATAATACTTAAATAATAATGTATTTACTAATTGATATAGTAAGGTTTCAAACTACATTAATATTTATTGATAATATAATTAGAATTGTTTTAAAATAATTATTGATTAAACTATAACATTAATTTTAAGCATTTCATTCTTATTAGGTCAACTCAGTAAATGATGTACAAAATGAAATTATACCATGCGGTTATTCAGTGAAAGTTCAAGGTGATATGAACATTGTATATGAATCTTATGCTCATGAACCGTCTGATGAAATTTGTCAAAATGACATTTCTGAAGAATCTAATAGTAATGAAATTGCTGATCATGATACTATGTATATTACTGATAATAATGATCAACAGATTTTCACTAATGAACTAAATAATGAAGTTTGTAATTTACCAAATCAACTGATAGATGAAAGCTGTAAAAATAATGAACAGTTGAGTAAAAATGAAAATGAATGTTTCTTCTCTCAAGTACAAATGACTGTATCAGATACAGAAATATGTGGTGAAAATGTAGAGGATAATCTTGACATTGGTATGAATGAAACAACTTCAGATGTTAACAGATCAGAAGTTTCATCTCAATGTAACTATATTGAATCAAGAAGTACTCAGTCTGATATTTTAACTCCTGTTGATGATATTGCTGAACAGATGGAATTGATGATTTTAAATCAATTAGCTCAACAAAATGACAATGTTGAAGTAAGTATTATTAATAATAATTTTATTAATAATTTAAATATTGAAATTAACAAACAATAATGATATGGATATATATATATTATATGCAATTTCTATTTTCTATCATCATTAATAATTTTATATACAGTATATACATATACAGTGGAGTTAGTTGCAATCAATAATGCAATCAGTGGAGTTAATTAAATATCTTCACTCATATGTTATGAATTTATACATGATAAATTTTAGCAAGATAAATTAACAAGATAAGCAACTTTTTAACAAGATTATACATATATTTTTTAGGAATGCACGATTAGATATACTACTATAAACAGATATATTTAATGATTTCTCAAGCATTCAGACATGAGTGTAATATAATGTGATAAATAATAAATTTAGTTTCCCTTTGAGATGATATAAAAAATTTCCACATTTAATTAAGAAATATTTTAGAAGCTTGTAATTGTTATTTTATGGCTTGAAGAACTATAATGACAATTTCATGAAAATTCAAATTCACATTATATCAAGAGTAGTAATTTGGTATTAACCAAATTACTTAATATCTAATTATTAATAGTGGCGAAAAATAGCCTGATTAATTAAGGCAATTGTTTGGTTTATTATTATAAGAAATTTATAAATTTGATATAAATATTTTATAAAATACAATAAACTTTATTTTTTTCTTTCTGGAGTCTAAAAATGTAGAGAACTATATGTATTTAAGAAATGTAAGGATAAAAATAAAATAGAAATTTCTTTTTATATATTATCTCAAATGTGAAGAATTAAAAACAATGTAGTCTCCTTATAACTGGAGTAATCCATATTATGATGATAAATGATTTGATTGATTGATTAATATGGAAAAACTGTAATAACACCTTGATTTAAAAAACACTTAAAATACTAAAAGGACTAGAAATATTGCTAACAATATTAATAAAATAAAATTTCAAAGAATGTGTTGAAACATTTGAAATCTGTGCTATGTATTATTTGTATTATTCTTTAGCACAATTAAGTGGGTTGATTGAGGATATATGTTATGTAATTTTAGGGATGGGTATATGTGACAGTGTTATGGAGGGGTGGATGATAGTTGAAAAGTATAAAAATTGAGACATAATTTATGGATGATTCCTTATTCAATATCCACAGACTGTTAAGGTTCTGTGGACATTGGATGTTCGAAATCAACTTGGAGTTAATTAACTATAAGCATGATTATATTCTAAATTTATATGTTTAGAAGTAAAAATCAGACAAAATGTAATGTAAGTGACTATGTGCTTGTCCTTTTACTGCTTGCTAATAGTATCGTAGGAGCACAGCATTTATCCACTACTGGCCTCAAGCTTCTTTCTGATTTATGTGTCTTAGCAAATCTGAATAGCCTCGGCATGGCTGGGGATGAAACTATAGCTATTCAGATTTGCTAAGACACATAAATCAGAAAGAAGCTTGAGGCCAGTAGTGGATAAATGCTGTGCTCCTACGATANTTCTTAAGGTTTTTGAAAATTACAGAACAACTTTCAGAACAGAAATTTATTCTGCATTTTGAACATAAATTTTTAAAGTTATATACAATAGTATATTAAAACAAATTTTAATGATAAGTTGGCTGAATATATATACAGAAAGTAAAAGCTTATTACAATAATTTTTTTTTTAATTACCATTAATATATAAATTAATATATAATTTTAGTTTAGTTAAATTAAATTTATTTAAAAGATGTTTAATTGTAATCACATGTGAGAAAATAATTTTAAAATTAAGTATGGTTGAATTTTTATTGCTTAGGACAGTCACATGAATTTCATTATTATTTTAATTTTCTTTTATAAAAGTTTAATGAAATACTGATAAATAAATTTTTATCTATAGAAGCGATTGTTTAAAGTTAATTTTTAAAAAATTTATGAGAAAATAGCAGTTAGAATTATTATTTTTCAAATAAATACCAGGAAGGATAATTGGATTTTATTTCTATTGAGAAAATTTAATTGAATATTGAATTCCTAATTAAAAACATTTTCTTATGTGAAAAATGTAATAGAATAAATTTTGAAGCTGATTTAACAGATTAATACAAATTTGAATTTAATTATATTGTAATACATTAAATTTTACAGATAATTATATACCATCTCCAGTTGCTGTTGAAGATATTTTAAGATCTGAAGTAGAATTAAGGGTATCTCATGAGCCTAAATCAGATAATGTGGAAAATTCAGAAGTTCCAGAATTTGTAGATCAAGTTGATTTAGGTTAGAATTTTTTTACTAAGTAAAAAAATATAAATATTAAAGTGATTGTAATTAAAATACCTACATTCAACATCGTTTAGACAATTTTATAGCATTCCAAATATAACCAAATATGATGTCATGACATTTCAGGACATGCAGAAGATATTTTCGTTTAAAAAAATGGTATCAAAACTCACCACTTTGGCAATTTTGGTGCTTGAAACAAGGAAAAACTGGTTTCCTTTGCACAAGCACACATGTTCAGTCAAGTCCTGGATATAAAAGTGGTGAGAACTGTTTAATATTATTCTTATCAGTTATGAGGAGCATGATACCACCCTCTTACTAGAATGAACATTGCTTGTGAAGCTGTTTTATGAAAATAACAACAATGCTGCAGCTGCACTTTGAAAATTTCACCATAATAAATAAAATTTACACCAAAGACCTTTTCTCCACAAACTTTCAGAAAAACACTCATTCAATTCAAGGAACTGGACATCTCGGAGTTCAACCTGGTCAAAGTCACAAGCCATCATTTTATAAGTGATTGAAGATGTATTATAGCTGTTGTTGAACAGTACATGAATAATGTTTTAAGCTTCAGTAGTGCATGTGCAATATCAAGGCAGTTAGTATATCCTATAGCACAGTATGGAAGGTATCAAGAAAGTCATTGCATTGTTATCCATATAAGATCAGCCATATCCAGCAGTTGTTTTCACTGACTGGGAATCTCAACTGACTTTTGCCTTAATCTTCCTTACCAAAATGGAAATGGATGTGTTGTGGAGTGACAAGGCAAATTTTTACTTCAGTGGAAGAGTTAACAGCCATAACTATCACATTTGTATCACTGAAAATCCTCATGTTTTCCTGCATATTTCATTGCACTTGCCAAAGTTACAGTCACAGCCACATTTATTCTTTTACATTTTTTAGCTGAAGAAACTAGTCCCAATTAGCCTGTGCATGTTTTGTGATGGGCCAGCGATACCAAGAAATGCTCAATACTTTTGTCATACTTAAACTAAAACAGTGACAATGCTCTGAATGACTTGAGCCTTGAACACTTTCACAAAAGCTAGTGTGTCTCTGTATGTTAGGTACTGCATACAGCAGTTTATGATAACATTTCATTGATAATAGTCATGAGCATACAGGACACTTTGGTTAAGGAAACAGAGGGGTTGATTTGCCTGAAATTTTACACATAATGACATAAGTACTAATTTTTTAATTGTCCATCACTGATAATTTCGTAACCTTTTTGCTTTCTCTTTCTCTCTCTCTCTCTCTCTGATTTTCTTTTGTTGTTGCTTTGCCTCAATTTTGGAGGATAGCCTCGTGCTCTTAGTTTTAAAATTTTTTAGCACTAAGAGGCAGGAGAGCAAGAGGTAAAATTTCAGTCATTAAATAGAATGATTAGTCTCACTAATCACTCTTATTTAATGATTTTCATTTTCTCTGTGTATTTTTAGTGGAAATTTTATGACAATATGTGAAAAGTTAGGCTTAATTTCCAATTGAAAGATTTTTTTGGTGAAGAAGCAAATATTTTAGAACTGGAAGAATATAAACTTGCAAAAAAGAGAGACAAAAATATATACAGAACTTATTGGATATAGACTATATAGACAGAGAAACTAAGATTTTTAACTTTCCTTGGCAAATCATGTTTTCTGCTTTCTTTAACATTTTTATTATATATTCCTGTTTGACAAAGTACTAGCTATCTCTCTTAGAGTTCAATTTTCATTTTTAAATAAAAGATTTACTTGATCATCACCTAAAGACAGAGAATGATAAAAAAACATAATCTCAGGCAGAGCAAGTGTATTCTAGATTTTTTGTGCAAAATATTCTGTTTTATGTATAACTAAAACTTTTTAATGAGATTGAGATCAGTGAATATGTCTATCTGGTCAATACTTTCTCTAGCTCTTAATCCCTGTGATTTTTGGTTGTGGGAACACTTTAAAAGTATGGATTATCAAGGACATGTTTCAAATTTGGTAGACTTGAAAGAGTGTATCACACTACATGTGAGAAGCATCATGGAGGATCAATTACAGTCAGTTGTTGAACACACTATTTATTGTCTTTGGATTTTACACCTTCACAATTGGGATCACATTGAACAGTATTCCATTTATCATTAAGATCTGTATATAGCATGAGTGTCTTATGTACTGTAAATAGTTTTGGTACTAACATTTTTTACAAAAATGTCATTTGCATATTCTGAAATGTCATCATACCAGATTTGGTTGTATTTGGACTGCTAAATATTTCTTTAGACAATGTTGAATAGAGATACTTTAGTTATAGTCATTCAATATATTACAAAAAGATATTGTTTAAATGAAGTAAATATTTAAAAAATTCGGCAGACGGTGTTTAATTTTTAAAATACAAAAAGTTTCGCAAACTTCTTTGCTTTCCTTCTGTCTTTTGTGTCCATTGGCAGTCCAGAATGTCTCCACATATAAATTTCTTCTGGACTGCTGATGGACACAAAATACAGAAGGAAAGTGAAGAAGATGTTTGTGAAATTTTTTGTATTTTAAAAAATATTTTTAAAATTGTAAAATTGTTATTCAGGTTTTTTCTTGAATACCACTNTTATAAAATAAATGCTTAAATTAAAAAATGTTTATTTAAAATGAAACAGGTTGTATAATATTTTTACATATTTAATTTGTATAAAAGCTCTTTTCTAACATTTAGTTTTTGTTTTGTCAACCATTTCATGGTATTGATTTGTTGTTATATACATTCTGGCTCTCTCTGCTCTCTTGATATTGCTGATGATGAATGTTAATCTTGAAAGTATTTACTGTTATGGTTGTTTTATCTTATTGTTTGTGTAATTTTATTCCATTAAAACAATTTAATTATTTGCTTATTGAATTAAACTTTTAAATAAATTATCTATTGTATGAATTAGGCATTATATAAATTTTGATGAAAAATTAATTTTTAATTACTAAATATTAAAACTTTTTAAATAGAATTTATATATTTAATTTTATAAAGTTTTTTTCAGTGGAAACTGTTTAATATGATAATACTTAAATAATAATGTATTTACTAATTGATATAGTAAGGTTTCAAACTACATTAATATTTATTGATAATATAATTAGAATTGTTTTAAAATAATTATTGATTAAACTATAACATTAATTTTAAGCATTTCATTCTTATTAGGTCAACTCAGTAAATGATGTACAAAATGAAATTATACCATGCGGTTATTCAGTGAAAGTTCAAGGTGATATGAACATTGTATATGAATCTTATGCTCATGAACCGTCTGATGAAATTTGTCAAAATGACATTTCTGAAGAATCTAATAGTAATGAAATTGCTGATCATGATACTATGTATATTACTGATAATAATGATCAACAGATTTTCACTAATGAACTAAATAATGAAGTTTGTAATTTACCAAATCAACTGATAGATGAAAGCTGTAAAAATAATGAACAGTTGAGTAAAAATGAAAATGAATGTTTCTTCTCTCAAGTACAAATGACTGTATCAGATACAGAAATATGTGGTGAAAATGTAGAGGATAATCTTGACATTGGTATGAATGAAACAACTTCAGATGTTAACAGATCAGAAGTTTCATCTCAATGTAACTATATTGAATCAAGAAGTACTCAGTCTGATATTTTAACTCCTGTTGATGATATTGCTGAACAGATGGAATTGATGATTTTAAATCAATTAGCTCAACAAAATGACAATGTTGAAGTAAGTATTATTAATAATAATTTTATTAATAATTTAAATATTGAAATTAACAAACAATAATGATATGGATATATATATATTATATGCAATTTCTATTTTCTATCATCATTAATAATTTTATATACAGTATATACATATACAGTGGAGTTAGTTGCAATCAATAATGCAATCAGTGGAGTTAATTAAATATCTTCACTCATATGTTATGAATTTATACATGATAAATTTTAGCAAGATAAATTAACAAGATAAGCAACTTTTTAACAAGATTATACATATATTTTTTAGGAATGCACGATTAGATATACTACTATAAACAGATATATTTAATGATTTCTCAAGCATTCAGACATGAGTGTAATATAATGTGATAAATAATAAATTTAGTTTCCCTTTGAGATGATATAAAAAATTTCCACATTTAATTAAGAAATATTTTAGAAGCTTGTAATTGTTATTTTATGGCTTGAAGAACTATAATGACAATTTCATGAAAATTCAAATTCACATTATATCAAGAGTAGTAATTTGGTATTAACCAAATTACTTAATATCTAATTATTAATAGTGGCGAAAAATAGCCTGATTAATTAAGGCAATTGTTTGGTTTATTATTATAAGAAATTTATAAATTTGATATAAATATTTTATAAAATACAATAAACTTTATTTTTTTCTTTCTGGAGTCTAAAAATGTAGAGAACTATATGTATTTAAGAAATGTAAGGATAAAAATAAAATAGAAATTTCTTTTTATATATTATCTCAAATGTGAAGAATTAAAAACAATGTAGTCTCCTTATAACTGGAGTAATCCATATTATGATGATAAATGATTTGATTGATTGATTAATATGGAAAAACTGTAATAACACCTTGATTTAAAAAACACTTAAAATACTAAAAGGACTAGAAATATTGCTAACAATATTAATAAAATAAAATTTCAAAGAATGTGTTGAAACATTTGAAATCTGTGCTATGTATTATTTGTATTATTCTTTAGCACAATTAAGTGGGTTGATTGAGGATATATGTTATGTAATTTTAGGGATGGGTATATGTGACAGTGTTATGGAGGGGTGGATGATAGTTGAAAAGTATAAAAATTGAGACATAATTTATGGATGATTCCTTATTCAATATCCACAGACTGTTAAGGTTCTGTGGACATTGGATGTTCGAAATCAACTTGGAGTTAATTAACTATAAGCATGATTATATTCTAAATTTATATGTTTAGAAGTAAAAATCAGACAAAATGTAATGTAAGTGACTATGTGCTTGTCCTTTTACTGCTTGCTAATAGTATCGTAGGAGCACAGCATTTATCCACTACTGGCCTCAAGCTTCTTTCTGATTTATGTGTCTTAGCAAATCTGAATAGCCTCGGCATGGCTGGGGATGAAACTATAGCTATTCAGATTTGCTAAGACACATAAATCAGAAAGAAGCTTGAGGCCAGTAGTGGATAAATGCTGTGCTCCTACAATATGTGCTTGTCCTACATATAGGACTTTCAGGTTTGAGACCCTCTCTATTTCTTTTAGAGTTGTCTAAATTACTTAATTAAAATTCAAAATGTTTGTTTATTAATATTTATACAAAATGATAACTATGATTACCTGTCTTTAAACCAAAAGGTAGGTAGGTAGTCATGGTTACCAAATTTTCGTATTAATTAATTAATAATTAGCATAATATAATCCAAAAATAATCCAGTAATTTTGACTTATGTTTGATGATAAAATCAGTGTTTAGTTTACATATATCTAATTTTGAGCATATATAAACAAAAAAATTTACAAGTTAAGTTTCATTTACCAACATATTTGTATCTTGAGATTTTTATCAGACATAAAAACAGAGCATAAAGTAATGTATATATGATGTTTCTTTTATGATAATATAAAAATATAATTATACCAATTCTACTGTGACTCTATTTAAAAATACTTTCAAAATTCTAATTTTCTCAACAGGATACTGAAGCTGCTTAAAAGTTTCTATTTATCTTGCCAGCTGAACACACACCATACCATAACTGAACCACCATCAGTTTATACAGTCCCAGTTCCTGTTGATATACTGGTTCTATTGATTCATGGGGTTTTCTCCACACTCAAACTCTTCCACCTGCTTGAATCAGTTGGAAACATGACTTATCAGATCAGGCTACTTGAGCCCAATTTTCCAATGTCCTGTGGCAGAAGTCCTGAGCTCAGACAAGACCCAAGAACTATTGTGAGATAAACAAGCTCACTTGGGTTTGGCATTGACTTTAAAAGCCCATACCTTGAAAGGAACATTACACAGTCTTCATGCTCATGTTAGTAGATGCTCCAGCATTGAACTGTGATGTTATTTGTATTGCTTACCTGTTGCTAGAAATAAGTCTCAATAGACAACACAAGCCATGATCATTGAGATTCTTTTGATGGCCACACTGTTTTTGTAAGTTTGTTTTTACCAGAATTCTTATTTTTTGAGGTACACCTTTGAAATAGTCAAGTGTGAAAATTCAAACTTTGTTTTGTTTGTATCTCTGAAATGCTATCATACCAAGTTGAAATTCAGCTAAATCAAGATAACTTGCCATTCTCACTGCAGAATCACTCTTTATACTTCCACAGATGTCTGTTACTATGTACAGTACAGTAAATACAGATGAAAACAGTTATGAGAAAGGATGTGCTGCTATATTTTCTAAATGGGATTGACTATCCCAGTTTTTCTGGCACTTTAGTGTAGATTTTATATCTAATTTTTTTATTGTTTAAAATTTTTTAGAATCTAATTTATTTAAAATTTATGCATATTCTATATATAAAGTTTTAAAATAAATAAATTGCAAAAATGAAATCTTAAAAAGAAAATACATTTATTATTATAAAGTATTAAGTACAATGATTATTTAATCTGATATTTTCTTAAATTTTAAGGTTGTGCCTGACGATCTAGAACTTTATTTAGATAACCAAGAATTGTTATTAAATAATTATGATTCAATACCTCGTCAATTTGAACCACCAAAAGAGAAACCACCACCGCCACCTACAGAAGAAGCAGAACCTCTTCAAATTACAGTATGTTGATTTCATAAATTTCATATATTAAATAAAATGCTTATTTAAAAACTAGATTCAAAATGTTTCAGGTCACATCAGTTGCAAGAACAAATTCTACTAAACGAATAAAACAAGAAATACAGAAGAGAAGATCTGATTTTTTAGGTTTGGAAATTCATGATGATGGAATAGATATAGGTAATTTATTTATTTTTGTAAAAATGTATAAATAGTATAAATTTATTAATGTTTTTCAAATAATCATTTTCATAAATGTAAATTAAGGCTAAACAAAACAAATTTGCTTCAATATATGTATATATAACTTCACTGAAAAGTTCAACTGAAAAAGGAGGAGAGTTGACAGCTGACCATAAAACAGATTACAAACTAATTCTAATTATTTAGTTCTAGTCCAGATCAGTTAATGTTAAGATGATTATCATGAAATGACAGACAACAAAACCCAAATATTATAAGAACTATATTAAGGTTGTTTCGTTTTTGAATACCAAAAACTTTTAAAAATAGCCAGAACTAGTATGATAATTAAGAAAGACTTGATACTGGAGTTAAGAAATACAAGCAAGAAATAAAATAAAAATAAAAATGGAGATGATACTGTAGAGAAAAATAAATTGATGATAGAGAAAAGTAATAAAGCAGAGATAAAGTTAAAAAAAGATTCAGAAAGTAGCGAAAATGAAAATAACATTAACAAAATATAAAAAATATGAAGAATTCTATGAAAAGTCAGAAACTAAAGAAAAAATATATGAAAATGTTTAAGACAAAAGAAAGAAAATGCAAGAATGTAGAGACTTGTCAGCTGTATGGAGAAAGAAATATTTCATTTAGAGATAGAAATATTAGAAACAAGTGGTATAATTATTTAAGAGAACTTTTAAATGGAATAAATAGGAGTGAGAATAAAATTGAAATTGAAAGGGAAAGTGAATAGAGTGTATATTGAGGAAGTTTCTGTGAAGTAAATAATTTCAATATTAATGGGGAATGAAGAGAAATAAAACACTAGTATTAGACAAGATACCAATAGAAGTATGGAAATTTTAGTTGATTAGAGGCTAAATGGTTATGTAATTTTAATAATAATGAACAACTGCACATCGGAGTTTACTAAACAACATGTACCTCAGAAATTGTTAACCGATGCAAATTAAAATTTAACAATACAAACGTTTTCAGACCCCTCCTGGGTCCTTCTTCAGATAAAGAATCGTTTGAAACAATATTAAATACGAAAAACAGTCATTTGGAACAATTTTTAAATAGGAAAGGTAGAACGGAATCACGTGCTCAATAGATCTGAACGTAAAAGTTTCTACGTAATATCAAATGTCATTTAAAATATTTTCCCTTTTTAACCACATAATGTTCAAAGAACCTTGATGTTAAGCAAAAAATCTATCACATAAACACTGATTAATTTGCATCGGTTAAAGGTTTCTGAGGTACGTGTTATATAATTTTAAGTTATAACTATTGTCATAATGATCAGAACTAACAAGAATCAACAACATTATTTAATAGATTAGTTAAAGTAGAAAGGTTCCATGGTAAGTTGAAAGTTGATCATATCATTACATAAGAGTAAAGCTGTCAGGGAATAATTATGATGATATAAAACGAATACTAAAACTGTTAGTAGTTTTAGTATTGCACATTCCAAATAGTCAGAGGACTTCTAAGATCAGCTACCTTGATGAGTTATCATTGCTATCTCTTTATCTCTCATGTTTTCATTTGATAGTTTTTTTTATCATATCCTTTCTTATTTTATCTTGACATCTCAATCTCTGTTTATCTCTCAATCTCTTTCCCAGTGTTTATGTCTCATAAATTTTTTTTATTGGTTTCATATTCTTTCTCTGCATCATGCCACCATACTATCTCTCTTTTATTTCTTCTATTTTCTCCATGATATTAATAAGTTCTATTCTTTGTCTAATTTCTTTACTTTTCAAATGTTTTCTTAATGATTCTCTTATTATCTATTTCAGTATTTTTGTATCTGTTGTTTCCATTACTTTTATTTTATTTTATTTTTTAAAGCCCATATTTCTATTCTACATAGCTGTAAATGTTTCTAACATAATTTTGTTGCTATTACTTGATTACAGACATCTATTCCTCATTGATTTTAATTTATATATATATTATACTTTTATCTTTAAATATAGTGTAGGAAGAAAAAACTTTAAAACTAGTAATTTTCTAAACAATATTAGTTAACATTGAAGGAAATTAAAAAATTATATCAATATATTTTACTTCACACAACATGAAAGATCTCTGAGTTTCAGTGAGAACAAGTTTTTATGTTGTGTGAAGATATTTTGCTGTATCCAGTGTAGTAGTACTTTTATATTTTACTAATTATATGCAAAATTATTCAATAAATTAATAAATTTAAATATATTATATTTTTACTACTACTAATATTTTGATATTCATACTTAATTAATTAAGTAACTGATTTTTCATGACAGAATATATAAATTGGAAATTAGAGATTAAAATTTAGTTATCAGTGTTTAATACAACATGTTTATAACATGAAATATAATCAATATTATATAGTTTTTTTTAAATGTATAAAAGTGTACCTCTAGACAAAAGTAATTAGTTTCAAATCATTTACTTACCCATATGATAGCCCAATAATTTGGCAGTTTGTTTGGTTTCAATTAATTATAAATCAGATGGTTTCAATTAATTATAAATCAGATGTTTATGTATAAAAGAGTTAAAGCAAATTTTATAATGATTAAAAATATTTCAGAAAAAGAACCAAAAAGATTATACATAACCAAATTATATATTTATTTATTTATTAAAACACTTAATTTCATCTTAAACACTGGAGGATGATGGATGGAAGAAAGTAGTAGCAGCAGAAAGTAAGAAAATAAAGCAATACTAATGTTAAGGAAGATGAAGATGCTTTAATAAATTTTGTTTTAATGTTTTATCAGCAATTTTGTGAAAGAGTATTTTTACAGTTACAAAAGTTAGGTGATAAAATTGCATCCATTAATTAGTTTCTTTGAAAATTTATATACTTAGTATAAATATTTTTAGAACAAAATTGTGAAACATTTTTAAATCTTAAAAATCTACAGGTAAAAGTTTTTCCTTTCATTTCCTTTCACACATTTTGCAGACATATGTACAGATTCATTGTTTTCTTAAATTGTTAGTACTAGAAAAAGATAATGTGGCTATTTAAGATTTTATCATTACTTTCATCAGGATCTATCTGAATCTTCTCAGCTTCAAAGAAATTTAAAGTAATGAACATTCAGAATTTGGAAAACTTTAAAACCAATACTATATTTTATTTAAATGTTATTTATGATATGAAAATTTGTACCATTTTTATCAATGCATTTTCTATACGTAATTGATTTTTTTTTTCATTTTTGGTTTGTTATTATCATTAGATTTACAGTTTTGATAAAAATTCATATACAGTATTTTAAATTATTACTAATGAAAATTGAACATAATTCTATTTAAAATTGCTATATTTTTCAAAAGCACTAAGACAACATAATCATAATTGTTGTGAGATATATCAATAAGTCTTCTTATTACATATAAAAAAAATAATTAAATTTTAAAAATAATTTATTTGATACAATTACAACTTGTAAATATTCATACAAATATAATGTTAAAAACAAAATTGTACCTAATTTTAATAAAAATGTCTAAGTATTTTCATCCAAAATAACTACACTTCTTAAGGTTTTTGAAAATTACAGAACAACTTTCAGAACAGAAATTTATTCTGCATTTTGAACATAAATTTTTAAAGTTATATACAATAGTATATTAAAACAAATTTTAATGATAAGTTGGCTGAATATATATACAGAAAGTAAAAGCTTATTACAATAATTTTTTTTTTAATTACCATTAATAT